ATATATTATCTTGTCCCTAGCCTTAGGTTTGAGCATCGCTCACCATCGGTTCAGTGAGAATCAGTCGGACGCCCCCACGCTTTTAGGTTTTCCACAAGTTGCTTGACCTCAAGTCGCGACAGCCCACTGAAGTGCAGGTACCGAAGAGTTCGTTCCTCTAGTGTTGGCGATGTATGGTAGGCTATCTACGTATCGTAAGGTATAGTGAGGGTGCGCACCACCCGACCTGTAGGAAGTGAATGTGGAAGTTTCGGGGAACGCCGGCAGCTATGGGGAGTTTCGACCTAATGTCGCAACTTGAGGTCAAGCAACAGGGGAAAACCTAAAAGCTGGGGGTGTTCGACTGGGTCTCACCGAAGCGATGGTGAGCAGCGCTCAAACCTAAGGCTAGGGACAAGATAATAATATATTAGTGAAGTAAGAAAAGGAATACAAGGGATGCTTACTGACCTAGGGACAAGAGGTCGAAACTGAGGTCCCTAGGGCAGCAGAGGCCGGCTTATATACAGGGGAAGTTTAGGGGAGGCTGTGCGCACTGGTCCGTGCACAGCTGGTCCGTGCGCAGCATGCTGACGCAGCCCCGGGGGCTGGTGAGTCAGAGAGGCTGTGTCAGCGGAGCCCGAGCTGTGCCGTGCACTGCCACCCATCTAATCTAATCGTACAGTAGATAGTGATGCGTCCATATCAGGCATGTAGTACAGAGGTCGCGGGTTCGAGCCCGCGAAAAGGAAAAATTAAAAAACGGCTAGACGCCATACCAACTCGTGACAGTCGCGGGTTCAAGCCCGCAAAAAGGAAAAATTAAAAAACAGCTAGGTGCCATGTCAACTTGTGACATGGTTGTGGTGTTCGACACGGTAGTTGAGCTCATGCCGGACTCACCTTACTGGTGTGTAGGCTAGCGCTTAACTTGTCCAAAAAGCCGGACGCTAGTGAGGCTTACTATGGGTGTTATGATATTGTGAGTAGACTGTTGTATAGGTGTAATGATCTTGCAGAAATACTGACATTCGATATCAGACCCTTGAGCACCACACGACACAATGTGTTCGTCATGGGTGATTGATTCTCGACCTTGTATTTGGTCTCAGAAACGGTCAGTGATGGCGATACAGCAGTGGTGACCACCAAAATTCCTAGTAGACAGTGAATTAATTTGGCCTATGGTATGTTCTGCATACTAATTATAGACGCCCAAAAGCCCCGGGCCCTTTAGGAGGGCTTGGGCCGGGCTTTTGGCGGCTCGGCCGGGCTGGGCCCGGCCGGCTTGGGCCTCAAAGCCCGGCCGTGGACAATACTAGTTTGGGCAGTCGTGGATCTTGTGGGAGCCTCCACAGTAGAAGCAGAGTCCCTCTTTGCGACGACACTCCTTTTCAGCTGCCGTGATTGGACCGCGCTGAATGGCATCGATTTCCATGGGGATGACGTCCACGCCGGTCAATGATGAGGTGGTGGCAGTAGACGAACCCGCATGCACTTGGGGAGTGAACGGGTGGCTGGAACGTGAGCCAGAAGGCTTAGGTTTCGCAGTGTCCTTCTGCTCGCATTCGAGGTTGTGGAGTCGATTGTCGGTGACCGTCACCGTCGGTATCCAGTCATTGAGGTTTTGCGGACGATCGGTATTGACTGTTGAAACGCGCTGACCCGCGTGGTCAGGAACGAGCTCGAAAGCTCGGGTGCGCGAGTAGCCGAGGGCCGGAGGCCCCTATCGTAGTATATGACGACCGTGCGCGATGTATGTACCGCACGCGATTGTCCCTTACGGGCATCGCTACGCCCGTGGACAAACGCGCCCCGCGCCGTTCGCACCCTTGTTCCAACATTGACAAGGACATGCTTGAGCACGGGCTTCAGGCCGTGATCAAAATAAGTTATCTGTGTGAAGTCAGTGAGATTGAGGTGAGCCAACAACTCCTGGAATTGATTAGCATAATTGGCCGCTGAGCCAGTCTGCTTGAGCGCTTCCAGCTTCCTACGGCTGGTGCGAACAAGGTTCGGATCAAACCGAGTCCGAAACTCGCGCTGCAGCAGTGTCCAGTCCCGCAGGAGGTGCGGAGACCGATGCTCAAGGGAATTATACCACGCGACAGGCGAGCCATCGCTCAGGTACATAGAGAAAAGGAGACCCTTCTCTTGTTTGACAGAGAGGTGCTGGAGCATGATGTACGCGCGAATTTCGCGCAGGAACGGGACCACCTCCGAGGCCTTCCCATTGAACATGCGTGGTTCACGCGACTTGATAGCGCTTCGCGATGTGCCAGAGCGTGGGGCCGCTTGTGGGATGTTCGAGACGAATTGGGTAAGTTGTTCAATTTGCTGCGTAAGCGCTTGGATTGCAGAGCCATGGCGATCTTGATTTGTCGCAAAACCGCCTGCATGCTGACCTAGCGCAGCGACGGCCTCGAACAGGACGCGCATAGCCTGTGCGTCGCTTGGTGCGTCGCCCGGTGGGGTTTGAACCTGGGCCTGCGGCATGGTGTTCGATGCCGTTGTGTTCGGATCTTGTGGCTGGGTGCCATCAGCATCGCCCCAGCCGCCGTCGAGACCTTGAGCATAGTTTGACATAATGTAAGTAGTGAGGGGCACTTCTGTGCAACTGTAGAGTAGAAATGAAAATTTACGATAGGGGTTAAGTGAGTCACTACGTGGCTCGCTACGAGAATACTAGTGTACTTGAGGGTTTTGGTGGTCGAGCCAAACTGTAACGGGCGAGTCGAAGAGCGAAGGCCGTTACGACGAGAGAGGACCGAAGGGTTCGCGAACAACAGGGGCGGAGGCCCGAATACTGGCGTTGGCTCGACAAAGAGATACAGGAGAAGTTCGAACCAATCTAAGTACCTACAGCTGAGTCCGAGACAGCGCGGCATATTCCGAAAGGGTGAGTCAGAACTTGTACTACGTTCGAGCAAAGGCCGTTAATATCTAGAGAGTCCGTTGTGCAGCTACGTAGACCATGGCACATTGTAACGTGCCGTTACACAACAGGCGCGAGTGCGTTGTGTGTTCGGACTGTAAGTACGAACAACAGGCCTCAGTGCGCGCTCGTATAGCAGGCAAGACTGAGGGTGCGGGACGACTGGTGTGGGCTATAACGAAGGAGATGCGCCAAGCAAAAAGGTACGGCGGAATGTTCTACAACGGGACAAGTACTACGCACAGGAACAAACGGCGGCGGGTAATCGTAACGGGAGGTGAGGCGCATCACGCAGTATGGCGCGGCGCATGGTACAGGTACTATCAGAGACACAGGAACGAGCCGGACGACGCACGGATTGCCGTGCGCCAACAGTATACCCATGGTATTCGACAAGCGAGCATGAATTGACAATGCCAACATATACAATGTGAATAGGTCGTAGAGATTTCGACTATCTCGAATGTTACACTATAGAAGGTCAGACTTCACCATGCAGTAATTTGTGCAGTAAGGGATGCTTCTGCGCCTCTCTCTCTTGAACGTCTAGGACTTGAATAACCGCATCTCTAGACAACAATCTCTTGTGCCACCTGCGGAGATATCAGCGTACACGAAGGACTACAGGTGCGCATGAAACATACGCGTGAACAGCGGGAAAATCGTTCTCGAGGTCGAAGCTTTCGTAACCTTTCATGATGACCGTTGCAATGGAGTTATTCCAGCTGAGACATGGCGAATGAGCAGACTTTGGCTTTCACCCTGTTATATACTTACGTTATAAAGGAGAGGTCAGCGACAGTACACTTGCCCTCCACCAACCACTCCTGTTGTGACAAGACACTTTCCAAAACACTCAGAACACGAACCACCTCTTTCTGATATCGTTCTATGGCGCTGGGGAGCTTTTCGGGGTGATAGAGGCGGAACCAGACCCCTTGTCCGAAATAAGGGCTAGAGGTGGATATGGTCAGAATACAGCTATATGATAAGTTAACACAGGTCTTGACCCTTGTCCTGATGCCTGAAAAAATAGCCATTGCAGCTGTTGAATCCTACTCTCCAACGAAGAGGCAGAAACCCTATGATCCGTATCGTATTTGTCGACTAGGTAGATCGCAATAGCGTTGGACTCCCTGAAGCAGTTTACATCATTAAGAAGCGGTCATCAATAGTATCTTGTGGACCTTACCAGACTACGAAGTCGCTGTTGCTATGATCAATGAGAGCTGGGACTCTTCCGTTAGGATTGTACTTGGTGTATTCAGGTGCTTTGTGTTCGCCCGTCATGAAATCCAGATAAATGGTCTCGTATGAGAGTCCCAACTCAGTCAGGATGAAGGCAGTTTTCCTGCAGCAGATCAGGCGACGAACCAGATAGATAGTATTCGTAACTCACCATCCATTCGGCCCTGTCGGGTGCGAATACAAAGTGAACTGTTTGTCGTGAGACATGTTGCGAGCGTGCATGGGAATAAAAACAACGTCTGGTACGAGTGTGTATATATGGCTGGGGGGAGGGCGCGAAGCGCCATACACCCGTCAGATGAGTAGTTGAATGCAGCGAAACCGCTGAAGCCACTGGGTCGAATGCAGCAACTATTACGTTGCACACTGGGTCAGCTCGCTCTCACACCCTGATACACAGTCATGTCACCATCCCAGCTCCGGACGATAACATGCGGAAAATGCGCACATGTGTCATACGAAGGCACGAAACGTCTGACAGAACATTCGAATTGAGGCGATGGTGTTGAGACGCCAGCTAACCTTTTCAAATAGATATCACACAAGCTGCGTGGTTGGATCTGGGAGCCAGGGAGCTGGAATGCACATGGGTAATTGGAGAACCAGCCAAGACAACTCTTTTTCAAGAAAAAAACCAACAAGTGACACAACGTACCTCAGCTCAGTCAAATAAGCGACTGTCACCAAAGCGGCCGACCACCGTCAGAACCGCTCAAGCCTGGTAAGGTATAACGGTTGCATGCTGTGATCAGATATTAAGTTCACTCTAAGTGGCACATGCGATCTCGGCCGCAGAATCGTCTCCGGAATTATGATGTAGAATGGAATCGTGAGCGTCGAAGTTACACGAACAGCCAGAAGCTAGAAGAGCCATCATCGAGGGACCTATGATGCCGCCCGTGTGTCGTTGTGTGCGTTCAGTTTCCACGCTGTTAGTGATACCGAGCAACGGCGCCGGCGTGAAACCTCATATCTCTGCTTCGCATGCCAAGACTTCCGGCCGTCTTCAGCGGAGTGTTCTTATCTGTAGCATCCATCGGAAGAGGTCACCAAGAAGCTTGCAAATTGCAAAGATATATATCACTGTGTTTTCTGACCCCATGACTTCGGCGTGAGTTTTCTAACATGCGTTCTGGCGGTGACTGTTCGTGGTTATCGAACACCATCTGTTCTACGTAGCTGATGAATAAGCTCCGAGGCCGGCAGAGTCCGCATGATGCAGATGCTTTGCAGGGATCATTGACGATGCTGGCTCTTGTTGGAACTTGGGATTGTGACGAGCGTATGCCATCGTATTTGGCGTTGTTTGTAGTACCTCGCAGACTTTGCCCGAGACGCTCTGTACGTTCTTTATGCGTTGATCGTTCTCGCCTCAGTAGGGCGCGGTGAATCTGGTGACCTTAATTAACAGCGACTAGATCTACCGGTTAATTACGGGTAGATTTACCGGTAATTCACCTAGGGTCGGAAACATAGGTGTTCACCTAGGTTTATCTGGGGGTATTCCTCGCCGACAAGTGTGTTGATCTGACTGCTAGATTCCTGCGGGACATTGTAGCTAATAGTGCGGTCTCCCAGAGAGAAGGTCAGGAACATGTGATGTCAGCGAACATCGCGAGCTCAGTCGAAATTCGCGCGGAGGACCTGGGATACGTGGTAATTGACGGACAATGTTGAGATTTACCGCTTTAGGCTGTTAATTAACGTTAATTAGCATGTAGACGCCCGTGGGTTAATTAGCCGTCAATTACACCTGTTAATCTGTCCCCTCAATAGACGGACTGCTAATTTACGGTAAATTAGGAAGCGATTCCAGATTCACCTTCAGGTCTCGGGCGAACTTTAACATCTCTGATTTAGCTGGGTTAAGTCCTGTTTCGTAGCCTAGGCGCGCCTGTGATATATGAGTCACACAGGTCATGTTACAGTGAAACGCGCTCGCGCAGACCCAGAAGACGTACAGAATGACTGGTATTACAATTACAACAAGATTACACCACGGGGCCACGCGGCTACAGCTTCTAGTCCTTGTCCCACCCGCCCTGCTCCTTCTCCACAAGATCATGAGCACAGGTCAGTACAGCATCCTCTAGCGAGCGCCACTTCCCGCCCAGCACCTTCGTCGGCACAGACGTATCCCACCTGATCACCTCGTTGTCCGGGAACGCCAGGCATGGCGCGTCTGCCCTGTTGGGCGGCACAGGACGCTCGGGGTATGCCTTCCGCAGGATGTCTGCGATCTGCGCGAGCGACACCCTCCCACCAAACGCGATGAGGCGCTGTCCGTGTGCATCCACGTCCGTAATCGACCGCACGCAGAGATCCGCTACATCGTACACGTGGACAAACGGAACTGTGAGGTTGGCGTGAGCGTCGGCCTGCACGCGCCGTGGCCAAGCATCCGGTCACTCACAGTTCACGACCGTGCAGGATCCATCGACTCGCGGCGGGACGGCCAGGTAGTCGTACAAGCGACCGAGCGAGACGTCAGGACGCGGCGGTCCGTACACCGCGTTGTGAACGGGGCCATACGCAGGTGCAGGGAGCACGGTGCTCAGCGTGAAGCGGGGCTGCAAGCGCACAGGTTTGGTGTCAGTCCGCACAGAGCGTCACCAGATGCGATGGTCATCGGCCCTGCCGCACCTTCTCGGTCTTCATGAACTCCCATGCGGCCTTCTCCGCGCGAATCTTGCTGCCCGTGTAAATGTGAAATCCTCGCGACGGGTCCGACGGGTCCAGTTTGTAGGCCAGCTCGTCTGAGATGACATTCCAGTCGTCTGTCGTGATCACCTCTTTCGTGGCGTCCTTTGCCGTCATGATCACCGACACGATCGAGCCCATCATGCACACATGCTGCACGCTGGGCTCGGCTTGAGCGCTACGGAGGACATTCAGTGCGCCGTCGACCGCAGGCACATACTGTACACACGGCCTGTATCAGAACTGACATGTACACAAATCCGCATCGAAATCCACTTACATGCTCCTCGGGCGATTTGGCATCCATGTTGACTGGGGATGCGACGTTGATGACTGCAAGGACACCTGTTCCAGCGAGGGGTCAGTGGCTACGATCACGCAGGGTCACAAGGGACATCGAGACTGCCTGACCCTTCATGGCGGAAGCGTACGCATTGGGTGCTGCGACATCGGGGACCTCCACGACTTGAAGTCTGCTGCCGTAGTTGGAAAACACCCTTTGGATGTGCTGAGCGCGCGTGAGGGCGCGCACGGTCCCGCGCACCCGATACCCGCTCTCAAGGAGACGGAAGGCAGTTGCGCTCGCGAGATGGCCATTGATGCCTGTAACGAGGACCCAGGGAGCGGACTCGGGAGACGACATGGTGTTTGAGGATCTGACAGTCTGCGAGCGCGAACGAGGTTTGAATATGTATGACACAAGAGCACCCATGGCGGTCGGGACTCACGGTGTGGATAGAGTGAGCAGGAGGTGCGTTCGATGGGGGGAGTGCTGAGGGGTCCTTCGCTTACCGTGAGGGCCGCTGACTCGGGCTTCTTGTTGATTTGTGTAAGTGGGAGTATATCGATGTGTTTAATTAAACACTTGATCGTGAGCAATGAGATGCGAACATGTGTTGACCAAGCAATGATGAACTGGTGGAGGTTGAAGCGGTCGGTCGTACACGTTGAGTGAATGCGGCATTAGTGATCCTAGAGACAACTTCTACAGCATGAAGCCGCAACTCTCCTTCGTCCCAGGGTGGTCTTCGATGATGGCCATAGTAGACCATGGGCAATGATGATAGATATCTATGGTCAAACTACGCCGAGGTGCAAAGCCTCCATTCTGAAGAAGACTCGACATGAGTTTGATTATAGAAAGTGGCGCGTTACGTCTTACGGCAGAAATTGTCCAATATGTAATTCTCATGATGTCTGCGATGTTTCGGAAGGAAGAATCATGATATAGAGCTATAGTCGTGTATCAGAGCGTAATTGCGAAGGATGTTCCTGGTTCAGAACAAGCAGATGATGATAATTGAAATTCCAATATTGGATGCCTTCCCGCAGGATTTAGACGGTTTGCAGATGCAAACCAGACTTTGAAACAGACCCGCTGTGTCGGTCCGTGCCTTTTGGCAGAAGAAAGGCGCCTGGAGGGCGGCCGTTACCAGTCATCACGATCAGGTTGCCAACAAGTGATTAACGAGGGCGGGAACGGATGAGGTAAGCAGAATGATTGTATTTGAGCCAACGAGAGACGAGCGGAGCCCGGAAATAACGTCTGCAATGCTCGATCTGGGCTGGAGGGGTTCGATTCTATTCTGCATTCGCGTCCAGACCCCCGCGGGAAGCATCCATTAATCCGGGACAATTTCCGTGACAGGCGGATCAGCTTTGTCGGTCCTTGTTTGGCAGGTGCCTATTTGCAATTGTGGATGCTTATATTGAGTATGTCGGTCTGTTAACTTGTCAAGTTGTCACATGCTTGATATGCAACTGGTCCGCATTACTTAGCGCGTGACGTAAAAACCTTAGCTGGCAGTGGCGCCGGCTGTCATCATTCAGGCCTTCGGGGTTCATGCTAGGATGGGTATCTTGAGGGACAGCTATCGCGTCTCCCACACAAGATCTATCACGATAGTAACTGCGGACTTTGGCTCCTCATGCTCTTTCCCGCGATTGTTGTGCCACTACCTTGTGCCTCCTCAGAAGCGCCAGCTGATGAACACTGGTTCGCTGCAATAACTCAATGGACCCCCTGATGTGATTATCTGCTGGCTTCTGCTCCTTAAAACCCCACAAGTTTATACTCATAAGTCGAGCCTTGACTTCGCAGACGTTGTGACCGCACTAGCATATCTGAACCCAGCATCTTGCGACATCATGAACGAAATAGACAAGATTTTTGGAGCCACTCTATGTGGAACTGTTGTAACGGGCTGGTCGGTACAATGTGACTGTCCTGACTATGCGTAACTGACGCTCGCGCAGGGTCGTTGGGCTCTTATGCGTCTTTGCTTACCAGTATTATATGGCCTTTCCCAAAGATCCGTGGTTGACCAAGTCCCTAGTGAGCGTCAGATTCACTGTGGTATCAGCCATTCTGATACCTAGTTCTTTCAGGTCGGATTCTTGTTGTACGTGGAGTATCTTCTGAGCCACTGTGAAGGCTGAATGGTCTTCCCCGCCCCCGCTCCCCCCTCGCCAGGTGTCTACAAATACTGAACTTGTATGTGTGTATTATTTGATTGAAATATCGACTCACCGAATCTACCAGGATCATAATCACAAAAATGGATTACTACTATCTCATAACATCCTTCAGTATTCTGGACAATCTTGGATCTGCCAATTGGTGACTTGAAACCTCCTTCTGCTTGACTTTGTTAACAAGCATACTTGCAGGGAATGGTCGATGTTTATCGGGCTCTCTGTATGTGTTTACCTTCGCTCTACAAGTCGACATATCAGTCAAACTTGTTGTGTCACTGTTACTTGACAGGTAATCTCTGCCTTCTGCGTCCAGATCTACTACGCGAGACGCGTGTTTTTACGTACGTGATTTGATTCATGCCCCGAGATGCGTTCCTTAAATCTGCTGGTCAGTGAGCAGGAGTTTCGTTTTCCTCATTTCTATTGTGAGCTACGGTGTGGCCATTCTTCATCCACTTTCTTAACTATATCCGTTTTTGAAGCTGTTGCCAGCATTCGGTCAGCTTGGTATGTGCTTGTTGCGTTGTCTGTTTCTTCTTATCTTACGACACCTGTCGGTAGCCTTTGGCTTAGGTGAGTCAATATTATGCAATAAAACCTTTCGCCATCGTGAAATATTGATTATGCGAAAGGAACCATGATCTACACGTGAGCTGTGCATGTTGTCATAAGATGCGGCTAACCAGATGTGTAGTGCCACCCTGGTGGAATTCGACAAATTTCGTGCTGTCACTGTAAGCCTTCCCGGCATTATGATCCTTCCTTGTAGATGCTGACCTACTATTTCTCTAAGTGGATATGTGTTGCTTGGCTTGCTTGCTCTGCCGCATGCGATCTCCTCATCGCCGGTCTGCAAGTCATGTACCTGATGAAACATAGGTCTCCGGTCACGAGGTGTGTTGAAAGAGAGACGTAGTTGTGTCTTCAATGAACAAGCAACGTTGCAGGACTGATATCCTCGTGAAGAAGCTGTTGTTCTATATCATCAGCACTGGTTCGCTCACTAGGCACGTCTCATTCTCTACGGAACTCGGCTTCTACTTATGTGCAATTGCAGCGTCATTGTCACAATAGAGTTCTCTTCAGTGAGGATACGGTCTTTTAAATGACTTTCTGAGCATGACTTACATTATGAGGCAGTTCGCGGCGTTGGGGTTCAATTTCGCGCACGTATTCCTCAGTTACTCCGCTGGTGGAGGTTGGTACAACGCTTTAACGTTATCGGTATTATGATCTCCAACTTGTCTAATTATAAACAGTGTACTTTCTCTCTCTCCTCGCTAAGTGCGTTCATATTCCTGTTTTTGTTCACTGAATCTAGTAACCTTCGCACGCAGCTTACTAGCTCGGCGCGAGATGCAAGGTAAATACACGGTATCCAGCGACCTTCCAAGCGCATCCAACATAGTGCCTCTTAGTATCCGATTCCGCCCAGGGGTAATTACATGAAGTTGCTGTCTGGTACTACCTGATTTCTGATAAGTTCACGTCTAGACACCTCCTAGTTCCAAGGACGATAGCCTCATGACACCTTTGGACTCAAACGTGCACCCCTCGTTTGTATCCATTTATTTGGCGAAATGGGTATTCTGCTCATCATCTGCTCTAGTCATGTCGACAATGGCTGCAAAGGGATTTTGGTGGAGACATCCATGTCGGTTGCTAATGACAACGCATGAGATGCTGGGTTAGTTGCGATACGTACATAGGATGTTGTGGATCCTAGCTCCTGAGGCTCAGATAAATTATATACACCTGCCTCTACAGTGGTTTTATTTGAGGAACACATCAGTGGAGGGTCAATCTCAGTATGCGATACTGACCTCAGGTTAGGGGTTCCATCCTGCAGCCCAGGATACGGCTTATTTGTTGCTCTGTCCTGACGGACTAAAGCATACTTAGGCATCGATCAGGAATTGCATGTATAATATGTCCACGTGCGGTATCGGACGACTGTTCTGCGCTCTGTTCCTTTACGCGCTAAGCGGGGCGCGATAACCTAGTGCCATGAAACAGAGCTTCAATTTGGTGGGTAGTAATGTCACAGAGTTCCATGAGACCGCCGTCTATCAGAAACTAGGTGCGAATCTGACGAAACAAATAGATTATTGCCCTGCTGTACCTCCTTGATAGTCTCTATCGCCATCCAGAGAATGGTACGCTAGGTTGGCGTTGACGATGAAGGTCTCACAGGGGGTCTAGCGTCGAAGTCAGCGACAGTAAAATCACAGATGAGTGAGCCCTCACCGCCTGTACAACAAGTCGATTTGGTTGCCCATTCCAAACGATATGCCCTAACGGCTGTCCGAAGTATACGTGCCTCACTATGTCGGAGAAGGATACAACTTCGTGGCCGACACGCGTGAAGTTGGGGACAAGGTACAACAGACCAAAGGCGTTGATCGCGGCCAGGTGCCTTCCGTCGGGCGAGAACCGTGCTGAGAAGCGTCAGCGCTGCGTTGCATAATGTAACGCAACATGAACCCACCTGCTATGAAAGGAGAGTAAAATGCACGAGGGTCGCCTGAGAGCAGTCCTTCCCGGGGAGGTGCGACCTCCATTTCTTCAAGGGCATCCGCACCGGTCACCCAAGCCACGCTCACTCCTGTGAGATGTCTCGTCTCTGGTGCCACCCACGAACGGCTGACGTCAGGTAATTTCACCAACTGCATCCGGACCTCTTGGTATAACTGTGGCGGCCTGCCTTCTGCATGCACTAGAATTCTCGTCGTCTTAGAAGCATTCCCTGTACTAGGCTTCACCTCACAGCGAGGTACATTCACGATGGCCGAGTACAAGCATACGGAGATGTAGCTCTCCGTCACATCGAGATCCATGACAACACGTTCCAAGATCGACGCAAGAGCAAAGTTCGGTGGAGCGCCGACGATGCGGCCGGTGTCGATAAATGAAATCGAGATCCGGTGTATGAGTGTGCCATCCCGGACGTCGAACAAAAGCAACGCGTCATCATCTTGCGAGTTCATTAGCACAAGCACAGGGAACCGCAGTCGGAACATCCGCACGACACCGACATGCAGTGCACTGATGAATGCGTGTGGTGTGTATCTTCCACGCAGGTCTTCCTCGGAGCGTCTGAGCGGGAATTCTGCGGCCGTGGATCGTGCCTCTTCAAACTGGAACTCAAGCGCCGCCGCAATACGTGGTAGCTTGATGGGTGTCGAAATGGCATCTTCATCACTATGTAATGGGGTGTCGACGGAGACGTCTGAGGCGCGCCGCCAGATCTCTATGCCTCGGTGTCTGCTGGGAAACGCGAGAAAGCCCTCAGACAGCCCGCACTTGCTACGGGATAAGTAGCCCTAAGATGGATTAGCATCTTCTACCTTCTGCGCGAGTCTCATCACGTACTGGACTAAACCTCCAAAGCATGCGGTTGTCCTCCATCGCATGCACCGTCATCCCGCCACCGCGCGATAAGGACAGCGTTGTCTGCTGCTCTGAATTGATTTGAAAGCCCAATATCCCATCCTGCGACCTATAACTTCCTTCCAGAACGAATCCACGCCCGGCCCAATTGTTATCCAGTACCATCCACCGCCTGCCTACTCGATATGATTAACCTGAAACTTGAGCGCTCAAGTCGCAATTTGAGAACATACACAACTCCTTTCAGGTCTCCACATCGCCCAGCCCTTTTGGATTCTCTCAATTTTATATCTTCAAATGAAGCCTCCGGTGACACGAGATGGTGCAAGATGGCCGCCTGATGATATATGGTCTGTTCATTCTCATTAATGAGAGAACGTGCGCCGCGAGATGCTAGCAGGAGCGAGCGCAAATCACTTATGGAGAGGAATGAGAGTACATACAGAGAGATATCAAGGGGGAAGGACAGCAGCATACTGTCTCGTTCACTGTAGAGCTGTAGAGCAGTGTGAACTGAAGGTCGTAATTAGGCACCAGAACTTGGTCGCGGTGATCAACGCCGCAAGCGCTTGAAAGCTGTACATCTAAATTAAGTTTGACAGAGCATTATTCAGTTCCCAAGTACTTCAGGTAGCTCAATCGGGAGCCAAAGGCTGCGATACTCACAACGGCGTCTTATTATGCACTGCTGCATGTGGGAAGAAGGATCGGCACGGGACACAATGTTGTCAGTGACTTTGTCCCCATTAGCTCGGAACCGGGACGCCTACTTGCACCGTCGTCAGAAAGGGCTGCACATACATGCAAAGAAATACATACTACGCGTAGCAGACAGTTTCATCGAGCAGCTGTGCGGTGGTAATCGACGTGGACCCATTGGCGCATCGGTCACATATTGACCCAGCACACTTCACAGCGGGTAGGTCAAATTGGAAGAACGCTGATTATCTACGTTCGTTTTCGGCATAGGAAAGAGAGTACAGCGTAAGTAAGCAAATGATTGTGCTTGCTGCCAGCGGTGCACGCACTACTGCGAGACGTTGGGATCAGACAAGAAAGTGAGACGCCCTGCCTGGCCGTTCATCACGTGACCGCGCCAATCACACGCGCCGAGAACGGCTCTACCGCGACCGTATACACCGCTCTGCACTAAGCACACGGGTGAGCATAACATAGTGAATGCCATGGAATACCCCGATGTCTATTCATCTGGAGCCGTCTTTCAATCTTATTTAGAACCTACCTTGGTACCGCTGGGCAAGACTCTGAGCCCATGTTCCAGATCGGAGGGGCTGACAATGGTATCTCCTCCGAGTCCCCGGGATGATGTTACTTCATCTCATCTCCTGCTGTGTTTCCAACTCACGACATTAACGAACCATACTTTCACGACCTCTCATGATTGAATCTACACTTATCATGGACCCTGCCAGCGGCAGAGAAACTAGCCTCGATGCTCTCCAACATTCGGCTGTGCCAAAAGCGGAGAGTGCCAACGTTGTCTTTTGGGTCGACGTCTTTATACTCTGCTTTATTGCCATTTGCACTCTGCTTCAGTCCCCGCGCTATTTTGCTCGCCTACTGAGTCCCGACGAGAGAGGCGGCGGACACTTCCTATGTAAGTGTAACCACATTTCGCATTGTCCTCATATAACATGATCTCCAGCAAGAAATCCCGTGGCTAGGACGGTCGCTTCTAGTCCTAGTTTGATGAAGACGAGCGAGTCATTCGCCGACCTTGTGGAAAGGGCACACTCTGGTAAATTGGAGCAGCGCACTAATGCTTTCGTCCCGCAACACATTCGCGCGTGGCCCACAGTACTCAGGACGACCACCGCATTTCTGCGTATCCGGTTCCTCGGCAGAATCCATCTTGGCGGTACAATGCTTCTGACATTTTATTTCGGGCTGCTCCTGTTCGCTGGCTTGTACAGGGACAGCTTATTCACCAACCAAATACGTGCTGCGTATGTGGCAGTCTCACAGATCCCGTTCGTGGTCGTCCTGGCTACGAAGAACAACATCATCAGTATGCTCATCGGGATCGGGTGGGACCATGTAAGTCCAGAATACCTCTAGCTTCATCTTCGTTGCACTGACAAATTATTGCAGATAAACTACATCCATCGCTTCACGGGAAGACTGCTTGTGATAGCGGCCAACGTCCATGCCATAGGATACAGTCGGTGTTACTTGTTCTCGACGTGTCCGCGCTCACATTTGCGATAGTCTACCGCTGGACAATCTTGGGGAAGTTCACTCGGCATATAGAGCAACCGCGCTACATCTGGGGTGTCGTTGCGCTCGTATGTGTTGATGTTCTATCCTTCTCCCTTGCCATAGTCTTCTTCGTCTCACATGTCGTCGCGTTCATACTCTTCCTGGTTGCAGAAGGTGCACACGAGAATCTCTGTACATGCCGCACTCATATTGTGCACCTGTGGGAGATGCTTTTTATGCCATCCCCACCCCCCCACCCCCCCCACCCGCGCCGGCCAACGTGATTATTAGGTACGTTCAACGCTTACAGCAAAACCCAAGCTGTAGACCTCCCTCGCAAAAGCTGCAGATAGGCGGCACGGCGCATAGCGGCGTTCGGCACCTCCACCTCGGGGTGACATGCCCTCATCCCCCAGAGGTCGTTCGCGCAGCCATATATGGTGATCCACGCCAATGTCTCGTTGACTGAAGTTCGTGCGTGCGTTGAGGTCTCCCCCGTCGCACTCTGCTTCCGCTCGCAATGCAGTGGCAGGCAGTGGCGAACTCTGCACCACACGATGCAATTATTTTCCTCAATCTTACCATAAGTCGTCGCGACAGACATGTTTGACGCGAGTTCCTTGTGAACGGGATGGATATCGAGTCGTCCACCACTGACTATGGCGGCGAGATGTCCAGAGGACTGTGCCAGATGTCTGCCTCACGATAGTCATTCGGTAGCTTATCTCTGGTTGGTCACCCGCCGCCGTCTCTGCATCGATGCCGACCCCTGCCGCGGGCTTCTGGCCCGCCTTGCTCCAAAATACAATCTGCGAGGGGAGGGTCTACGCATTGTTATTGGTTTTAGTTTTGCTGCAACAGTCCCAGGTCCAGTGTGTTTACACGCCGCCCATTGACGCCATGCCCAATCTTACTCGAAGCGTGGTCAACAAGTGACGTGGTGGTGGAGGAAAGCGCGCTGAAGCGAGAAGAATATCATCGATGGAATGATTCGGTTCGGTTTCTTTTCGTTTCTTCTACTCTTCCTGTTTTGACAACTCTAAGGCTTGCAATGACCGCGTCGATGGGGAGAGAAAGCGGCTGTCGTAGGCTGGTCGAGGGTGCCGGTCGCGAGCGTAAATATGACGCGTCGGGGACATACACCTTTGAGAAGCCGAGACATTGACAATCGTGAACTCGATCCGGAGACGTCGAGTCTCGCTTGCCTGTGTCCGGGACGGGGTTTCCATCCTAATGTAGAAAGTGTTACTCTGTTTTGGACTTGGTTTCGATCACTTGTTGTTGTGCGCGTCATCGCAGACAGGGTATGATGTCACTCCTGTTAGGGCTTCTGTGTACTCTTATAAGCCGACGTCGATGTCGAGAAACGCATCTTCCTTCTCTCGCACAAACCCCCATCATCTCCTCTCATAACTCGAACCAATTGGCGACCGAAGCTACTCAAGCGCCAGGTAAGTGTTAAGTTCTGCAGAAGGTTAGAGGCGTGAACATATGCGCATAGTCACCCGGACCCGCTTCGGGACTTGTACGTTCGGGCGTTGCCATTCGGGCACGCATATTCGAGCTTTCACATCGGGTGAAGCATCGCGTACATCGATCGTTGTCGTTCCTAGTTTCCGTTCGTCGACTCATCGTGCATATAGTCAGACATAGCGGCCATCCTTTGTCTTTTATATTGGTTTTCTAGCTAGCCTCATCAGTCACTACAACCTTTCGACCATCCTCGAAGGTCATCTGGCGAAGACCCTCCCACAACGTTGAGAGTCGAAGCCTCGTACCTTTACGTGTCTCTCTATGCGCAATGCTACTGTCAAGCACGTCGACGGCTAGTAAATAACCAGCATTCTGAGCTCGACGGACTCCCTGAACGGGGCGCCTTCTGGCGTTGTCGGGTCGTCGAAAGCCGTGTGGGGCGTGAAGACCGCCGTCTGCCCGTCATCCTGCGAGTCGAAGCTGCGGTGCACCGCATGAGCTGAGCGCGTCCACGCGCGCGCACGATGCGAGGGGAAGCGGAAGCGCCGCTCACCACTTAATCAACACGAACTCGTCGGGCCGCATCCCGCGCATGTACCACCAGCGGTGCCCCGGCGCGAACCGCACGCCGTACGTCTCCCCATTGTGGTCCGGGTACCGCAGCGTAATGGGCACGACGTCCCGCGCGCGGTCGACGCTGCGGAAGTCGCACAGCGCGAGTGGCCAGTCGCGCGCGGGGTGCCCGAGCGGCCGCCAGAGATTCAGGATCTGGAAGCGCCGCCGCAGGAGTGCGGGCACGTCCGCGGGGGGCAGGTGCCGGTGCATACGCGCGGCGGCGGACGCGGCGGTCTGGTCGATGTGCACCTGGGGCACGGGCTGGCGCCTGTCGGGGGCGTCGTCGCGCTCGCCGGGGCGGCGCCGGCGGACGGCTGGTGCGATGTGAGGAGCTGCGGTAGAGGCTCGGGTCAGGGAAGGGAAAGGAAAGGGTACGCACTGTGGTCGAAGGGCACGACGCGGCGCGCGCCCGTCAGGAGCTTGAGCAGCGCGATGCTCTCGGAGTAGTACTTGGCGCGGATGTCGGCGTCGTCGGTGAACGACGTGTGGTCGGGGGCGCCCGCGAAGAACTGGAAGCCGGCGGTGTCGAGCGTGAAGGCGGCCTCGTCCCCGCGGACGTCGTGGATCTCGACATCGTTGGGCTCGGGCACCCAGTTTCCCGTGCGCCCGGCCGCGTCCGCGTTGATGAGGGTGTACGGGGGCGAGCCGTCTGGGGGCGGGGAGTAGTAGAGCAGCTCGGCCTTGACGGTCGAGGGCGCTGCAGGGCGCTTTGCTGCGGGCGCCAGAGAACGCGGGGGGCGTGCGATGTGGAGGGTGCGGTTGAGCGGGGGGTTCCGAGGGGGTCGCTGGAAGTCAGACGATCCGATGAGGGATCTCCATGGACAGCAATATCTTGGGGTGACGTACCCCTAAAGCCGAGCTGCGTATCAATTTGTTCGTGTTCCTGATGGGCGAGACGAGTGGGAAGAGCGACATGGCGGATCAGGTGAGTGTCAAGGCCATTGCTGCAGGCCTGCGCCCGGACTCATATCCCTGGAGATCGGGCTCCAATCAGGACGACGTCAGCTCTGACGTCGAGTGGTGGTGGCGGTCGACCTGGACGCTCGGCTCAGAAACAGCGCTTTGTCGTGCCGCGCGTCGTCAAATGCAGGCTGCCGTCGGCGATGGCAATCTTCGACGCTTTGCCTGGCTGTTGCGTCCTTGATTCATGTGGTGGGAGAAGGGAGGGGAATCAGATATGCACGGATCATCGTGGCGGTGCTGCACACGCGGCGATGCACGGCATACCGGAGTGGCGAAGCGAGTGGTGGATGCTCGAGGAGCGCCGCCACCGAGCGAACAAGAGACGGTCAAATTCACAGTCAAATTCGCTTGCAAGGCGCGATAAGATCGACATCAGCGCGGATAAGATCCGCGTGGGATATCTCTCTGCTCTGCAGACTGCCAGTGACCGAGCTGCTTTCCCAGAGCCATTATCCGGAGGGAGCAGTCTAATTCCGGACAGAAATGCAGGCGGACGTACAGGAAATCCCGCGCCTCGACGTGACCCGCGAGCAGGTCGAGCGCATCCTGCAACACCACGGCAAGCATTCAGCGCCCATCACGGCGCTCGAACAGTCCACGAGCACAGGATACAGGTAAGCGTCCCCTCAGCACGTCGCAGGCGACCTGATGAACGCGAGCCGTGTAGCACAATCACGACCACCAAGACATACGACGTCATCCTCGCGGACGGCACGGCCTACACCCTCAAGGCCTCTCCCCCGTCCGCGTCCGCGTCGACCCTCGTGTCCGAGTCCCCGCCGTACGCACCCAACTCCCTCGCAGCCGAGCACGCCCTCCTCCAGCTGCTCGCCGCCCAGACCAGCATCCCGCATCCCGCCGCCCTCGCCCTCGACACCACCCTCGCCCTCGCGCCCTTCCCGTACCTCCTCCTCTCGCGCCCACGCGGCATCCCTCTCTCTCTTGCCCGCGCACAGGGCGCGCTCTCCGCGCGCCAGGCGCTCCTGCTCGACCTGCGCGCGGGCGGGCTCCTGCGCCAGCTGCACGCCGTGCAGAACGACTGGTTCGGGCTGCCCGCGCAGGCCCAGGACGCGCTCTTCAGCTGGCAGGAGGCGTTCACAGGGCTGCTCGAGGGCCTGCTCGACGCCGCGGCCGTGCGCGGGGTGCCGCTCGCGTACGCAGACGTGCGGCGCTGCCTCGCGCGCGCGATCGGGGCCTTTCTGTTCGACGACTGCGAGGTGCCGTCGCTGGTGTCGTTTGCGGGCGACGCGGACGCGATCCTCGTGGATGTGGATGTGGAGGCGGCGGAGGACGCGGAGGTGCCGGTCACGGCGTTCCTGTCGTTCTCGCACGCGCTGTGGGGCGACCCGCTGCTCGAGACGCTCTTCCTGGACCCGAGCGCCGCGTTGACGGAGGGGTACGGTGGGTCACCGATCGTGTTTGCACGCCAGAAGACGAAGAGGCTCTGGTACACGCTCTTCCTCGCGTTGATGGTCGTGGTGCAAGCGGCTCGGGATGGTGGGGGGGTACACGAGGATAAGGTGGAATGGGCGAGACGCACACTGGATGAAGTTGTACAAAAGCTGAAGGATGCCCCATGCTACTGAGTCCACGAGCTAGACTGGCTGACAGTAATGCTCCATGTAAGATATAGAGCTGTAGAATGAGGTCGTTGTGACACACTTGGAGCTGCATGGGACGGTGTGAAAGGAATGGCGTGCAGTACGCTCGGCATGGTCGCTGGATATCGAATGGCCGAGATGTGCTAGCTGGAAAACAACGAACAAGGTCGTTTGAACATGTCAATATATGCACGACGGCGCGCTCTGATCCGTCGTCGATACCACGAGTCGAGTGGTAAGAAATAGCAGGCAACATCCAGGGCACGCTACCTTTCAACACGGATGGCACTGCTCGCGATCTTGGTGGAATGGACATGAATTGGACCGTGCTAGTATACAGTAGACACCATGTCTAAACCTGTCTTCAGAGCAACTCACTCCTGATTGTACGTATTCTTCTCCAGCTGAGGCGAAGCTTCAGCCTCAGCCACACGTTCGCAGCGGGAGCAAGACGGGCACGCACCTCATCCTCCAGCTCTCGCCTGACACGCCATTCCTCGTCCGCCTTGATGACCACATGGTGGTCGTCCAGGTCCTCGATGATGAAGCTCTGCTTCTCGTTCATGGTGAGCAGGATCTGCTTCACAGCAGAGTCGCTGCGCGGGCCATCATCGCACCACGGACACGCCGTCAGCCCCTGCGCACACGCCATGCATGCACCCGTAATCGGGATTGCGGTACGAACCAAGTGAGAAGCACTCCTGCGCCCGCGCTGCGTCACGCCGAGTTCCAGATTCCTGAGAGCGGTCGCAGGCGGCGCACCTTTTATGGCCTTCATCTCTCAGCTCCTTCTGCGCCGGTGTACACCGGGATGACAAAGTACTGCAACGACCGGCTCGGCGGGTGTCGGCTAGAGGCTGCGACGGTGGGCGTCGAGGGCAACGCGGGTCACGTTCCGGACTGAGATGACTGAGGTGGAAGAGCCCTCCGCGCCCGTGCCAGTATTTGTATGCCCGGCACACACATCCGCCCCTTCCTCCCCGCTCTTCAACGACTGCGCTGCTCGTCCGCCAAAATGCCGATTCCCCCTGCGATCTTCACGCCCGACATCTCGTGCGTAGCCGTGCTCTGGCGCGGGCGATGGTGTGCTGATCATTAGGCCTGGCCCATTGACACTCCCGGAACGCCCCCTTCTTCGCGCTCTCACACCCGCACGGGGATGCGATGCGCGGTTCTCTTCCCTTGCGCTTCTGGACCTCAGTACCCCGAGCGACTCGCCGTACCCGAGTCCGCTGCGGCAGACGCTTGGGCAGACGGCGCAGTATATCAGGACGAGCACCCCGCCCCCGCTGATTGCCCCAGAGCCCAAGGGTACGACCCACAGTCTCGCTTCCCGTTCTGACCATGGGTAAAACTCATCCTGCCGCAGTCCCGCCCCCGACCACTGTCGTCGAAGCGTCGAAGCGCCTGGCGGCTTGGACGGCCGTCGACCGGCATGTGCTTCCCGAATACAAGGTGCGCCTGCCCGCCGCCTCTCACCTCTCACAACGGGCGCTCATGGCGAATGCAGGTCATTGGCATTGGATCTGGTGCGTAGAGCTAGAGCGACTATGCGGGGAGCGCGCCTGACAGGCGGCAGGCTCGACGGTGCCGTACGTCGTCGAGCGCATTGAACAGCAGGGCAGGGAGAGGAACAAGGACAGGGTGTTCATCCCGACGAGTGCGTCTGCGTGATGTTTGCGTCGCTCTACGCAGTTTAACCGCATGCTGCAGGTTTCCAGTCGAAGGAGCTCATCGTCAGTCACGGGCTGCTGCTCGGCGACGTCGACCAGTACCCTGTCATTGATGTCACGATAGACGGTGCTGATGAGTGCGTTCATTTCACTCTCTACTGTCGCTTGCTTTCACGTCCGGGCCGTCTCGTTCACGAGTCCCTTCCCTTGTTGTCGAGCACCTCGCCAACGTCGTCATGCTGATTGCCTGGTGAACGACAGTACACAGAGCTGGGGCGGCAGGATCTGTCTGCTTGACTCACGCTAGGATTAGCCAACCCTACTATAGGGTCAAGCATGTCTGCCCCAGGCTTTGTATTGTCTTGATCAATCTACTAACATGCGCTGAACAGGGTAGACGAGACTTTGAACTGCATCAAGGGCGGCGGAGCATGCCATCTGCGCGAGAAAGTGCTCGCTGAGGCCGCAGACACGTACGTAGTGGCTCGCTTCAGTCCGCGCTGACTCCCTGACGCACGCACCCTAGCTTCATCGTCGTCGCCGACTACCGCAAGGACTCCGACGTTCTCGGCAAGAACGTGCGGCCTTCCATCCCTCCCTCCCTTCTTCCTCCCCTGCGCTGACCGTGGCTCGCACCCACCCACAGTTCAAGCAAGGCGTGCCCATCGAGGTCGCGCAGTTCGCGTACGCGAAGGTGCTGCAGAACGTGCACCTGATCGGGTCGCCCGAGGCGCGGCTGCGCATGGCGAAGGCGAAGGCGGGCCCCGTGGTGACGGACAACGGCAACTTTGTGATCGACGCGCCGTTCCCGGAGGAGATGATGCGGGAGCCGTACACGCTGCTCACGCGCCTCAAGATGCTCACGGGCGTCGTCGAGGTCGGCCTGTTCTGCCACATGGCCAAGGCGGCGTACTTTGGGAACCAGGTGCGCCGTTGCGCGGTGGTGTTGTTCGAGACAGGGGCGCGCTGCTGACGGCGACGTGATTGCAGGACGGAAGTGTGACGGTAAAGTGGCACGACGGCCGCATCGAGAGCGTGGATAGCGGGTCAAGCCTGGTTCCCAAGCCCGCGCACAAGGTCGCGCTGCAAGAATCGACGGTGGCGGAGCCTTGAATTTGAGATCGCATGCGGTGGTCAGAGATGAGGGCGATTGCTTGCCCGAGAGAGCTATAGATGTCTAAAGGAAGGGCCGTAAAGTGTATCTAGTTGTAGGATACGACGTGATAAGATAAGTACCGGCTACGCGCCGTGTGCATCTGGGCTTTTATGTGGGCGTTGAGATCGGCGCGGTGACAGCGCGCATTGATCCGGGCCGGTGTGTCTCGGCTATGTCCGCGCGGGTGTTCGCCTTTGACGTGACTGTCTATCCTCTTTGACAACGGACTGCAGACTTGATTTGTTATTCGAAGCTACTACTGGGCTGAACCCCATCGCAACGCGTGGCACCAGGCACAAAGGCGACGCTCGCACAGGTCTTTGTGGTGGTGGCGGCCACCACCACCATCGTCAAAGCGCGGATCTGGCATCTAGGCGCGCTACGTCGCCCATTGCACCCCAGAATTTCAGAATTCCAGCAAATGCGCGCGATATCGGCACTGGGTATGCGTATTCTGGCGGAAGTGCCACTCACGGCCCACGCCCATTGGTAGCTGCAGCCTTCTATGTGGCGGAATGCGTGCACAGCCACCACCACCACCACCACCACCACCACCACTCGGCACGTGCGGACGCGTACCCCCGGTGCCGTACGCTTTGCCAGGTATGCCCATTGTCCGTGGTGATGCCGAGCCGTAATGACCCAGGTTACTGGCATTTCGCCACTGAGGGCCGCCACGAAGAAGCCCCCACCACCGAAGCCTGTCAGCTGTGATAGGGGGGATTTGGGCGCCTAACAGGACAAATTCGGCCCAAAATAGCAAATGTGGTGGTGGTGGGCTGTGCCAATGCGGCGGCTGCGAGATCCTCTCCAGCAGGATGTTGGAATCATTCTGTCGAATACAGCTACAGACCGTGCCGAGCAGTATACGCGATGTTCGGAGGCCGAGCAACCTCCCAGTGGCTCCTCTCGCTCGTCGGGTTTTCCCGCTTGGGCGCTTGACACCACGGGCATTCCTCTTTGGGACCAAGGTAGGCGGGCATTGCCGCTGCCAAACACCGACAAGCATGCTGAATGCCATCGAGGGAAGGCAGGCCAAACAGCATCAAGCAGTTTTTTCATCAAATCGCCATAATCGGATGTCACGTGACCAGGCTTGTGTATATAGGACAAATACGCCACTGGATCTCTTTGGCGTTGTTTTGATGCCCGCCGTACATGTCCAAAACCAATCACGGTCTGAGCACGCGTCCGAAAAAGGGTTAGTGCCCCCTCCATAGACGCCTTGGGCCTCGCCGAGCAGATGGCCTCCGCCCCTGATTTTTCGTATAAATACCCCCCTCCGCCGCTTTGCTCCCCACCACCAAGCGTCCTGCACTCGCCTTTCCCCTCCCCCAGTCAAAGCCAGCCCCTCTCCTACTCTCGCCTCTACCGCGATATCTTCCCGCTATGCCTCGCGCCACCAGCTCAACCCACCGCCACCGCCATTCGCCCGCCCCCTACAGCACCAACCGCGCCGACCGCACCAATGCCCTTGAGCCCACCACCTATGTCGTGAGCACCCTCCTCGCGGACCTATGCTCATACATCGTCTGACCTCGCGTTCATCGCTAGGTAAATCATGTGACCCTCAAATTCCCCCTCCACCAACAACCGCCACCAGGCAAACCCACGGCGTGTTGGTTTTGCGATTTTGAAACGAAGCGTTGGTCTGATCTCCAACGGCATGTCGCAAGACATGCACTGAACAAGAGCGAAGTGTGAGTGTTCAGTGGTATGCTTCGTGCTCAGCGACTAACCGTGGCCCTACAGCATGTTAAGTTGTGATGTCTGCGACACGAAGATGCTACAAGCAAGCAACATTACGAATCATATGAGACAGCAGTACGTCCCACTGTGATGCTCGGACCCGACGTCGGTGCTGATGATCCGTGTTCCTAGTACCGGGGAAGTACTCAAGTGTCAGGAGCTGCTCGAGAATGGCGAGCCATGCAACTGGGCGAATACCGATGCTCCCGCCTTCCTACGACATCGCGAGCGTGATCACGAAATCATCCCCAAGGGCAGAATGAAAGCTCAGGAGAACGGCGCGGTCAAGTCTGAGAAGGGGCGCAGCGCTCGCAAACACAAGCCCTACTCCAAGCGGTCGTCCCGCAAAGCCGCTGCGTCCAAAAAGGACGACCCCAACACAGGTGCCGACATCACCAACGTGCAGGGCGCGAGCGGCCTCTCGGAGCTGGCTACAAACCTCCAACAGATGTCGCTGGCCACCTACCAACATGCGATGGCGCCGCAGGTGGTGGACCCCTTCGACCCGGAGGTGCTCGCCGCGCTCGAGAGGCTGCAGCTGCAGCAGCCCGCGCCGCACCCTGCGGCCTTCTACGGCCAGGAGCCCTCAGCGGCAAAGGGAGAGGTCTCGTCGCCCTCTTTCGAGGTTTATCCTGTGCAGGACCTCCAGCACGACGTCGCGCCCTACGGCTGGAGCCAGACCACCCAGCCCGAGGCCGCCCCGCAGGACCCCTTGACCCTGGCCTGTGAATCATGGTTTCCCGCGCCCGAGGCCTCTCTCGAGCAGTACGCCGCGACGTATGGCGCGTACGAGGCCGCTGCGCCCTACGGGCCCCAGGACGCCTTCGAGATCTTCGCGCCGGCGTACCCCGCGTACGATGCGCCCGTGTCCTTCGCACCCCAGGCCCCTCTCGAGGACTGCACACAGGGGCACTCTGCGTACCTGGTCGCCCCGCCGATGCCCGTAGCCGGCTCTGCCTGGTACGCTGCGCCCGCCGCGACGGGCTCCTGCTTCTACCCGCCGCAGCCCGAGTTCTGCGCAACGTGGCCGTCGGAGCTTCTTGATATCCCGGCTGGTATGGGCTTCGAGCAGCCGAACGTCGAGGAGGCGCCCTTCGAGGAGCCGGCGTCGCTGTCGTCTTCCCTCGACTTCCTGGGGTTCAACTTCAACGCCGACCTGACCTTCGGCTTCCTGAACTCGGGCGGCTTCTCCGCGCCCCTTGTCTCTGGCATGTTCTAATTCTCTCTCTTTCGCTCATCACTCCCCGCCCTGTTTTTGTCTTTGCCCTTCTGTCTGCTTTCCTCTGCTTGTTTTGGTCTCTGCTCGTCTGCTCGTCTGCTCTTTCGTCTCAGCCTTCACGCAATCCCTTCCCTTTGACTTCGTTTTCTCAAGAACCCTTTCTCATCGAGTCTCCGGCTCCTATACCCCTTCATCGAGCCTCGCCTCCTATACCCCATTCAATCGATACCCAGATACCCACCCCTCCGTGCCTATACCCGCCACTTGCTCTCCGAGCAGTATACCCGGCTCTTGCACGTTCTCTCGGCCGCCCTTGCTGGCCCCTTTGCTCTTCGTCAGGGATTGCGTGAACGGCTCTTAGATCTAGATCTCTAATACATATACAACACTAGACACCTCGCCCCTGGAACTCAGCTTATTTGACCTTCGCAGCTACCATACTTGCTTTCGCGCGTTATTATCGCTCTCGGATGTATCTTTACGGACGGATTATTGGAATTATCAGCCAGCGTCGCTGCATATCTGTCTTGCTGGTGTGCACTGCAACGAGGAATATCCCTGAAGTCTAGACGCCGCATTAGCCGCCGAGTACGATGTGGTGGAGGCGGTGCCCCCTATCCTTCGGGCGGAGCTCGGTGAAGAAGCACGGTGGCGGCGCACGCATTGGTCTCAGGAACGGCTGCCTCGTGCATCAAAGCAACATGTCATTGCCACGGTGGCGTCGATACCGCTACATTACATACAAGTGGGCCCGTTCCGCCACCAAACCCTAGCGCTGAAGCCCAAGGAACGCCTCTCAGAGAGAGTAAATTCTGATGAGGAAGGCTCGCGTCAGCACCCGGCGGCAGGAAAGGACAAATGGCGACAACGCACTCTTCGTTCAGCTCGATGCCGCCGACCGTCTCGTAGAGCAATTCGTCCAGCCCGTCGATGGCTTCGCGCACGACTTCGCCTAGCGCCAATGGTCCGCACGTGCCGACGAGGACGCCGCGCGGCTTCGCGCGCGTTCCTGCTGCGGCCTGGCGGGCCTTGGCGCGTTCGACGAGATCGGCCAGCCGACAAGGGATGTTCGGGTGACCCGAGTCCAGTGTCATACCTGCAGGCAGGTCGAAGGCCTTGAGCGAGTGTCCGGCTGTCGGCGCGCGTGTAAAGAAGACAGAGATCTGCAGCGCCGTAGGGCCTGCTGCGCTCTCAAGCAGCAGCGAGGAGAAGATAGACGCGAGCGGAATGAGGGAGTCTAGATGCGACGTGAAATTCCTTGAATGGAACTCGCGAGTAGTGCCTTACCGGGGTATTTGACACACCAAATCAGGTCGACGACAGCGACGCTGCTGGTGCCTCTTGCAGCCTTCTCCAGTAGTTCTTCTACGGACGACAGTGCGTACGAAATCCCGCTGCCTCCGACGACAAACAGTGCCCCCGAGAAGCTGGAAATCACGGTGTTTCCCGGACCGCCTGAGGAGCGAGGGTTGAGCTCACTTCGATGTTTAGATAGTGATAGTGATGGCTTTACCGTATGGTCCCTCCACCATGACCTTGACGGTGACATTCGAGCCTTCCCCGAACGGCGACCCAGCAGCAATGTTGTACAGCCGCTGCGTCCATCTCCCTGTGTTCTTGGCCAGTATGACGAGACCTTGCTGCGCCGTCCCCATGCTCGCACTTGCAATCGTGAACGGATGGGTCTCTGCGCAGCCGTGCCAACCCATGCCCGTGGAGAGCACGCGTAGCCGTACGTGCTGGCCTGCGCGCCATCCTGCATTGAGCGTTGGAATTTGAAGAGACGTCATGTCAAGCTCTGGCAGAGCCTGGAGATTCGCCGCGCAGATACGGGTCTTCGCGAAACGCAGTAGGAGGTCGACCATGTAGATACCAGCGCCCACGAGAACATATGGAAGCGCGTCGCGCATGTGAAAGCACACCTAGGTGCAAAATATGAGTGCGGCATATACAGCGATCATCGTGGACACCTACCGCAACCAGAAAGAGTATGAACGCGACGACATGTGAGACGAAGAAGACGTTGTATGCTCGTTGACGCCATATGGCAAGGGAGAAGAAGAACAGAACATCGACACATACGAGCGCAACAATACCCCAGATGTAGCGCGGTTGCTCTATATGCCTCGTGAACTTCCCCAAGATTGTCCAGCGGTAAACTATCGCAAATGTGAGCGCGGACACGTCGAGAACAAGCAACACCGACTGTATCCTATGGCATGGACGTTGGCCGCTATCACAAGCAGTCTTCCCGTGAAGCGATGGATGTAGTTCATCTGCAATAATTTGTCAGTGCAACGAAGATGAAGCTAGAGGTATTCTGGACTTACATGGTCCCACCCGATGCCGATGAGCATACTGATGATGTTGTTCTTCGTAGCCAGGGCGACTACGAACGGGATCTGTGAGACAGCCACGTACGCAGCACGTATTTGGTTGGTGAATAAGCTGTCCCTGTACAGCCCAGCGAACAGGAGCAGCCCGAAATAAAATGTCAGAAGCATTGTACCGCCAAGATGGATTCTGCCGAGGAACCGGATACGCAGAAATGCGGTGGTCGTCCTGAGTACTGTGGGCCACGCGCGAATGTGTTGCGGGACGAAAGCATTAGTGCGCTGCTCCAATTTACCAGAGTGTGCCCTTTCCACAAGGTCGGCGGATGACTCGCTCGTCTTCATCAAGCTAGGACTAGAAGCGACCGTCCTAGCCACGGGATTTCTTGCTGGAGATCATGTTATATGAGGACAATGCGAAATGTGGTTACACTTACATAGGAAGTGTCCGCCGCCTCTCTCGTCGGGACTCAGTAGGCGAGCAAAATAGCGCGGGGATTGAAAAAGTGTGCAAATGGCAATAAAGCAGAGTATAAAGATGTCGACCCAAAAGACAACGTTGGCACTCTCCGCTTTTGGCACAGCCGAATGTTGGAGAGCATCGAGGCTAGTTTCTCTGCCGCTAGCAAAGTCCATGATAAGTGTAGATTCAATCATGAGAGATCGTGAAAATATAGTTCGTTAATGTCGTAAGTTAGAAACACAGCAAGAAATGAGATGAAAGAACATCATCCCCGGGACTCGGAGGAGCCTGTACCATTGTCAGCCCCTCCGATCTGGAACATGGGCTCAGAGTCTTGCCCAGCGGTACCAAGGTAGGTTCTGAATAAGACTGAAAGACGGTTTCAAATGAATAGAACTGGGGTAATCCATGGCATCCACCATATTATGCTCATCCGTGTGCTTAGTGCAGAGCGGTGTCCGAGCGGTGTATGCGGTCGCGGTAGAGTCGTTCTCGGCGCGTGCGATTGGCGCGGTCACGTGATGAATGGCCAGGCAGGGCGTCTCACTTTCTTGTCTGATCCCAACGTCTCGCAGTACGTGCCCCGCTGGCAGCAAGCACAATCAATTGCTTACTTACGCTGTACTCTCTTTCCTATGCCGAAAACGAAAGTGGATAATCAGCGTTCTTCCAATTTGAACTACCCGCTGTGAAGTGTGCTGGGTCAATATGTGACCGATGCGCCGATGGGTCCACGTCGATTACCACCGCACAGCTGCTCGATGAAACTGTCTGCTACGCGTAGTATGTATTTCCTTGCATGTATGTGCAGCCCTTTCTGACGACGGTGCAAGTAGGCGTCCCGGTTCCGAGCTAATGGGGACAAAGTAACTGACAACATTGTGTCCCGTGCCGATCCTTCTTCCCACATGCAGCAGTGCATAATAAGACGCCGTTGTGAGTATCGCAGCCTTTGGCTCTCGATTGAGCTACCTGGAGTACTTGGGAACTGAATGATGCTCTCTTAAACCTAATTTATGTACAGCTTTCAAGCGCTTGCGGCGTTGATCACCGCGACCAAGTTCTGGTGCCTAATTACGACCTTAAGTTCACACTGCTCTATAGCTCTACAGTGAACGAGACAGTATGCTGCTGTCCTTCCCCCTTGATATCTCTCTGTATGTACTCTCACTCCTCTCCATACGTGATTTGCGCTCGCTCCTGCTAGCATCTCGCGGCGCACGTTCTCTCATTAATGAGAATGAACAGACCATATATCATCAGGCGGCCACTTTGCACCATCTCGTGTCACCGGAGGCTTCACTCGAAGATATAAAGTTGAAGGAATCCAAAAGGGATCCATGACTGGGCGATGTGGAGAGCTGGAAGGAATTGTGTACGTATTCAAATTGCGACCTGAGTGCTCGAGTTGCAGGTTGATGATATCGAGTAGGCAAGCGGTCAATGGTACTAGACAACAACTGGGCCGGGCGTGGATTTGTTCTGGAAGGAGGGTATTGGTCGCAGGATGGGATATTGGGCTTCCGAATCGATGAAGAGCAGCTGTCTGAGGTATTTCTGGCGTTTCCCAGCAGACTCCGAGGCATAGAGATCTGGCGGCGCACCTCAGACGTCTCCGTCGACACCTCATCGCATTCTGACGTACATGCCCATTCGACCCCCATCAAGCTATCACCTGCTGAGGCGCTTGAGTTCGAGTTTGAAGAGGCACGATCCACGGCCGCAGAATTTCCGCTCAGACACTCCGAGGAAGGCCTGCGTGGAAGGTACACACCACACGCATGCATCGGCGCTCCACCGAACTTTGCTCTTGCGTCGATCTTGGAATGTGTTGTCATGGATCTCGATGTGACGGAGAGCTACATCTCCGTGTGCTTCCCCTCGGCCGTCGTGATTGTACCCCGCTGTGAAGAGGTGAAGCCTGGCACAGAGGATGATTCTAAGACGACGAGAATTCTAGTGGTTGCAGAAGACAGACCGCCACAGTTGTACCAAGAGATCGGGATGGAATCGGGGAAACCACCTGGCGTCAGCCGTTCGTGGGTGGCACCAGAGACGAGACACCACACAGGGGTGAGCCTGACCTGGGTGGCCGGTGCAAATGCCCTGGCAGAAATGGAGGTCGCACCTCCTCGGGAAGGAATACTCACAGGCGACCCTCGTGCATTTTACTCTCCGTTCATAGCAGGTGGGTCTAAGGCGTTACTTTAGGCAACGCAGCGCTGACGCTTCTCAGCACGGTTCTCGCCCGACGGAAGGCACCTGGCCGCGATCAACGCCTTTGGTCTGTTGTACCTTGTCCTCAACTTCACGCGTGTCGGCCACGAGATTGTATCCTTCTCCGACATAGTGAGGCACGTATACTTCGGACAGCCGTTACGGCATATCGTTAGGAATGGGCAACCAAATCGACTTGTTGTACAGGCGGTGAGGGCTCACTCATCTGTGATTTTACTGTCGCTGACTTCGACGCTAGATCTCGTTTTGCGTGTCGTGGACTTTGGCGACCCGGTCCCATTCGGACACACCCGCCGATCATACCGAGCAGTGACTTGCAGGTAACCCGCACCGCTCTCTGGACGATATGGGATCCATCGTTGCTGGGACGTGTGGTGCGCCAGCGCGCGCCGCATGATGGCCATCACCTTGATGATCAGGTAGAGGAGGGTGGGGTGCCTCGGATGTGTAAGCTTTCATAAGAGTTCCATCATCGTCTGAGGCTAATGGGAATGAGGTACAGCAGGGTAAGAATCTATTTGTTTCGTCAGATTCGCACCTAGTTTCTGATAGACGGTGGTCTCATGGAACTCTGTGATATTACTACCCACCAAATTGAAGCTCTGTTTCATGGTACTAGTTTATCGCGCCCCACTGCGCGGGTTGCGGACAGGCCCAAGCATCGCAATAGCTTGCTTCATTATTTGCCCTATTCTGTTGGATAAATTTCAACTTGAATCACGGTGATTGTCTCATAACGTGAACAGTTCAAAACGCACTCTGGATACTAGGCTAATACCCCGTGTGATAATACGTATGTTACGTTGCCTGCGGCACTCCCCGCATCTCAATCACCTCATTCTTCCTTCGAAGCCAACATGCTATAAGTTGCCGATACAACTGCTAGACCACCTGTGAGTTCTACATCATAGAAAAGATCAGGAACAATGGTGATCGCACCCCTTCTAGCACGTCATACATCACCAAGCACAGCACCTTGGGTGCTTGTAACTGATGCCAATAGACACGTTGGCAGCGCCACGGCTCATCGCCTGTTGGATGGTGGTTTAGTGTGCGAGGCACTCTTTGTGCCCTGCCGAAGACGCTACGTATCCGCAAGGGGTTTAGCACATACAGCGACAGGTTTCAAGCTATTGAGGTAGCTCATATCGCTGCCCCTTATACTTTTGCGTCTGCAATAAAAGGTAAGGTTGACGCACCCTTTCTCTAACCTTCTCACAAAACTTCCTCTTCTCTGACATTCTGCAGACATCATCGCGGTCATCCATATTACATCCCCGGTGATCACAGTACGTACTGGCAGTCAACGGTACGCTCAATATCCTCCGCGCCCCAATGATTGAGTCCAGCGTGCACCACGTCTACTTATGGGCACGATTGCGTCGTCCTTTTCACGGCTAAGGGTGCCACAAGACATATCACTATCATGGATGAGCGGAATGATGTCTCAGACGAGCTGGCGTGCTCGTTACCCCCGTCCGATCCCTCCACATATATGCATGCAGCAAGGTCTGGCAGAAAAGACAGCATGGGGGTTATAAAACGAGGAATATCCGTGATGGCGTTTATATGCGAGCAGTGTTTTCCTGAACACCGTGTCCGGCGCAATACAAGATGACCAAGATGCTACCCGCCTTCGCGTACGGCCTGATTTACAACGTGTTCACAGGCCCTCATTCTCGGTCATTTGTTCGACTTTGAGGCCGCCTGCACGATCGTGAAATGCATGTACATCTATAATGATGTCCTTCAAAATTCTGATCCTGCTGCTTCCCTGTTCGTACGCGTGTGTGATGTCGCGAACCTGTGCGCCTGCCCAATTAACCCCCCGGAAGCACGCGGACGCGCCTGACCACTGTCGGCGAAAAGGTATCTCTTGCGCAGATCACAGACATGCGGATAACGTATACAGACAGAAAAGTGTCTCTTAATATTGTGTATTTGGCGTTTGCCCAAAGCAACATCTTCTAGTAGTACACGTGAACCAAGCGACTCTCCATGGACGGTGGCGCTCGCTGGAGGATGCTGTCTTAACTTACGCGATTCATCTAGTCGAGAAGGAGATGGTGGGATGGGACGGAAACTGATGGTGAGTACTAGGATATTGACTGTGAAGACGTTCAGGGTTTGAACATACCTCTCCTGTTAGGCATCTATCGGCGCTATCGGCGTTCCCAGCCTGCAGCGCCTGCAGTGCACGACGATGTGCGATCATATAAAACGCTCTACGCTAACGGCTAGGCCTTACAGGTTCTATATTCCTCTATTGTAGAAGGTCCCCAGACTGACAGTTGAACATGTAAGCAGCCCGCATACCTCGATTTGCGCATCCAATACATGCCACAGTCGCTGTGTTGAAGTTCGTCTGAGACCCAAAACGAGAACAAGCCACGAAAGTATATCGCCTCTGCCTGAGCTCTGTCCAACGCGTGAGGAACGTACAGAGAGGCTCGCGCAAGATATGCAAGATATTACAAACAACACCAAATATGATGGCGTGCGCCCACCACAATCCCACGTTCCAACACGTTATGCTCGCTGTGCTTCTTTTGCGAGTATCGTATAGGTATGTAATACGGGCTCATATTGCATGGTGAAAATGTGTTTCCGCTCACGAGATCCTACACATGTTCTAGTGAATAGGGTTTGCCAATGCACGCCATGCCAATACAGGTATTAGTACCGGAAGTTGCAGCATGCTTCTCAGAGCCAAGTATGTGGGCATTTCGCATCTGGGCCCGATCAAGACCGCTTGCACCAGATACCTAGGCTAAATCGCTGACTTAAAACTCTCCCCGTAGGTCACTCGAAGAAGTCGAACTTGTCACCTTGAGTCAAGGTTCGACCACACGAGCGCTAATCGAAGTCGCCTCACATTGTCCTTGAGTATGGGCGGCGATCTTCGTCGTTGTAAGCTCAAGATCTCCGTTGCCCAACAAGGTACTAATACACCAGCGCTTTCAGGTGTGTGGAATACCCTGTGCAGTATGCTGAGATCCGAATATTGCCCTTCTTTGTCTGGGCACAGTAGGCATGAGAAGTCTAGACGGCACATCTTCAGGACAACGACAGCGCCCCGAAAGTCTAGAGCTACGTACGTCTTCTTGAATACTCGGTGCTCGAATGGCCTCGCATTGTATCTCAGAAATCGGCAGCAATGTACTGAGTTCATCCATCTAGTAGCACAGCAAACTGGCAGTGACGATCCTAGTCTGGACATTTGACGGACTCGTCAGAACCTATTACTTCTTACCATGGTACCCCGGGACAAGGTGAATGCAGCCTCTGTGCAATGAAGTACAGGAATCTCGACTTCCTCTTTCATGTGCGCGCAGAGTTACTAACGGAACATATGTTTAGATACAGTGTTGTGACAAGGTGTATGTATTAAAGTCACTGTGAATTCTCTGTCACACTGACTAGCGATATATCATATAAAGTCGGGTGGTTTTGACACTAACAGCAGACCTCCTACGAGACGCGCACCATGTCCCAGAAACCTCTTCAATTCGAGCGTGGAAATATCCATTGGATGGCGTACTTCAAGCTGATGCGATTGCACAAGTTTCCTACAGGGAGCATAGTCGTGTTCTGGCCGTGTGGTACGTGCATACAGATGGTCTATGTACCTTCATCGTATTTATGTATCCGGCTCTTTGACAGCTTGGGGGGTCATTATGAGTGCATCTATTACGGACATGAAACCACCTCAGGTCGCGATCCAGCTAGTGCTGTACCTCACTGGTAGCACCATTCGTCACAGCGCCGCGTGTATCTGGAACGACATATGCGATCGTGAATTCGATCGTGAAGTCGGTGCGCACATATGCCCAGACAGATATCAGTGGTAGTAACGCGTCTCATAAAGAACGCTGCAAAACACGGCCTTTTGTTGCCGGGACAGTTTCCATGACCGGGGCGGTAACGCTGTTGATATCACAGCTTGCGCTTGGTATAGGCCTTCTGGTATATGCCGGACCTGTCGCGTAAGTTGCGCAGCAAGCGAAATATGAACCCTGACTGCGTCTATGCCCCTCACTGATCCGGTTTCGTCAGCACGCGCGTCGGCCTATTCGGGTTAGTATTCCTTGACTTTCCCTATCCTCTCATGAAGCGATGGACTTGGTGGCCTCAGGCATATCTTGGTGAGTCGTATATGTATAAACCTTCCCACCTGTATTCACGCCGACAAGGTCTTGCCATGACGTGGGGGCTTCCCGTTTCATGGGTCTCCATCGTCGGTCACATGGATTGGACAGTGGTACCTGTTCTCTTCCTCGGCGGTGTCAGGTGTGTCGGGCACTACCCACAATGCGTTTGAGACTGATGGGACGCAGTTGGACTATACATTACGATACGATCTACGCCTGCCAAGACCGCCGTGATGATGTCAAGGCCGGCGTAAAATCCACTGCGGTGCTGTTCGAAGATCATGTCAGGCCAATCCTGTCCTGCTTTGCCGCATTCTTTGTGGCCAGTCTCGCCTTGGCCGGCGTACAGAACGCCCAGGGTCCCCTTTACTTTGTCATGACAGTCGTGGGCACGGCCGGGCACCTTGCCTGGCAGTTGGCCACGATCGACTTTGACGTGAGCGCGGATTGCTGGAGAATGTTCAAAGTAAGCGAGCCTGTCCCTGGGATTAACTTCGCAACCGGGCTGACTTATATGGTAGGCAAACGGAAATCTAGGCTACATCATATTATCAGGAATGCTTGCAGATTATCTGTATAGGTGTACGGATATGCTGGGATGAGTAGCAAGAGGAAGTGAATGTTTGTCCCTTCATTTGTTATCTTGACTCAGTGATTGGAACCCTCAATCTATCGCGGCGATGTGGATGATATACTCCTTCTCTATGTTGTTGAACAGATGCTTCCCTTGTGACGTCTCTCATAATTCAACGAACTCTTCTAAGCGTGATACTTGAAATTCAAGGCCGCTGAGATTCCGCGTTTGAATATTTGGATCGGAGTCTGTGGTCTTAAATCATCATGAGCTCAGAATGTCTGCCAACTTCGTTAAAACCCTCTACATACGGACTAGCTTTTGACTCAAGTATTTCGTCGGTTATGAGACCTGGTCCACTGAGTATTATTGCTGGCTCTTCAGCACCTCTTCTACTGTCCTGCCTTTTCACGCCGCGACGATACAGGTATGATGGTCATTTGTCTTCTCTTCATTAGTCGAGGCTACACTAGGAATCCGAGGATCAGGGAGTAACGGCGCTGTCATAATTCCTTGAACCCATACCTGTGCGAGACCTCGGCTTTTGTAGCCGTTGTATTTTGTACGAGACCTCTCTGTATCAGCGACCGTTGCAAATTGGCAATAGCGCCGGCGTGCGAGACGCGTGCCTGCCTGCGGATAGACGAGTTTCAGTCCTCCGCCTTAGGCGGCGGGGTCACCATTCATTCACATGAACAAAACGTAAGGTCTTCTGGATCCCCTAGGTGCTTTCTGGTCGTGCTCTCCACACCCCGTAAGAAGTCACTTTCCGCAGCGGACGTGCCCGGCCTCGTTGCTTTATAGTTGCTATCGTGATGTCAAAACCACGGCCTTGACCTATTATGTCGCGGACAGTGCCGCGCGGCTCTTGTACACAGAGAATGTGAGCACATCTCAACCGACTTGATCGAGAATGAGCATGAGGGCTCCTCTTCTCTCACAGGCGTTTTGTCGATCGCCGCGGACGATGGATTGCAATCTTCGAGACACCGTATCGGAGTACCCCAGCATCACGTGTAGAGGCCCGAGCCGGAGAAAGGACGCAGTACGCGAGAGCGTTTGTTGAGACTGAAAGTATTTATGCTGACAGAAAACAACGGGACGTACACTAGTACGAGTAAGGCTGGGTCTACCTACGGAAACATCTGAGATGCCACAACTTTCCTTGTTGCAGACATGAGCTTCGAGGCACTATTCATTCACGAGGGTAAAAATAAGTCTTTCTTTCTGACAAAAAATCACGTAAGATATCATATGATTGGGAACTACCTAGTTCAGTGCTCATCTCCCGCATGGAACCATTCTGGAGCAATATGGACTGGCTTACTCAGAAATGCCATTAGATGCGTTTACGAGTCCTGAAGTTATAAATGGGCGGCGGGAAGGACGTGGCATCGCGTCGGTAGTGACGGGCCGTCACATTTGGTACGTAAAATGGAATAATTCTGTGACCCTCGTATAGTGTTCATCGTTGTGACGTACAACAATCGACCAATAACGGGCTTGTGATTGCTAAGAATATGACGTCTTGCTCGTAAACAAGGTCATGCAGACGAATCAGAAGATGTCGCTGCTATGCTCAGTAACTGAACGAGTTCGAAGACAAACCCCGCATCGGCAGTTGCCGAAGGCCACATCACCGCATACTATTGGATGGTTCATCCGGCCCACGCACCCTGATGTATTAACTTCGCCGCTGAGATGAGCGAAGCGCTACATCTTATAATAGGATCTTAGGTTCAAGCCTCGATGCTTTACAGAACACAAGGCTTGACGACCTCACGCGTCTAGATCCGAACTTACCTCCAGTTTGAGAAATTACCGTGGCTGTTTGTGGCACAATCTCACAGGAGAGAAAAGGACTCGGGCATCTGCTTCCTCTTTGAGGTTCGTGTTTTCACTTCAGGTGCCCTTCACTCTCATCAGATCAGTTTGAAACCTTATCCTTGGGGTACCTATTCGGCCCTGACAGCAGGTTATTTCCGCTATGATCACAAGCTGTGAAGTCGGCGCTTGGTCTCACATCGGTGGTTACTGCTTCGCTAAGTTCCTGCCGATTAACCGAATGTCAGCCGCGGAAATTGACATCTCGTCACACCGTAACTGTAAGATGGCTTCATTGGTGATGAGCCTACCTGCTCAGGGCGTGTCAGACCGAAAGGAGGAGGATTAGGGGTCGGCTTTTAAGACACACTGGCAAGTATTGCCCTGTCGGATCAGAAGCGAAGGTGACAGTGTGAATAGTCTGCACTGCTTGCAACAGAGACTCCAATGTTGTGTCTGCTACTCACATCTCTCAATTGCAATCAATCAGAGAGATAAGCTCAACACCGAAGACGTTCTCTACCCAAAACGTTTAAGGCTGATCCACCGCGACACAGAACGCATCATTCAAGTGGCATTGCTGTGTGAACGGCACAATCAACGAAACTACGATCGGCTCAAGACGCTGTAAGTGGCGATGTTGTATAAAAGGCTGTCCGACACACCAACTTACGCACCTCCTCAGGATACACAAGTACTATGACTAGACCCCCCTCGCACGCTGTCAGTGATGACTGGTCAACATATCTCAAGCTAATGAGGCTACACAAGTTCCCTGCAGGAAGTATACTTGTGTTTTGGCCGTGTGGTGAGTGAACGCCTTCCACGTAGCTGTTATGTCTTGATGTCGGCTCTCTTACAGCATGGGGAGTCACTATGAGTGCATCTATCACGCATATGAAACCATCCCAGGTCGCCACTCAGCTTGTGCTGTATTTCATTGGTAGCACCATTCGTCACAACGCCGCGTGTATATGGAATGACATATGCGATCGTGAATTCGATCGTGAAGTCGGTATGCACACATACCCAGGCACATATCAGCGGTAGTAACACGTCCCATACAGAACGCTGCAAAACGCGGCCTCTTGCTGCCGGGACGGTCTCCATGACGGGGGCGGTAACCCTGCTGATATCACAGCTTGCGCTTGGAATAGGCCTGTTGTTATATGCTGGGCCCGCTGCGTTAGTTCTTCAATGGGAAGCTACCGTAATGTGTCTGTTGCTTACCCGGTTCTTTCAGGACGCGAATGGGTTTGATTGGGCTGGTATTCCTTGACATGCCCTACCCTCTTATGAAGCGTTGGACTTCTTGGCCGCAGGCATTTCTCGGTATGATATTCGCCACGATCATCCGCCCTTGTCTCAAACTTGAATAGGTCTTGCCATGACTTGGGGACTTCCTGTTTCGTGGGTTTCCATCGTTGGTCAGATAGACTGGGACGTGATTCCAATTCTTTTCCTCGGAAGCGTCAGGTGAGATCGGTACCATGAATATATGTGTTATCAGCAAACTAACAGAATGCAGTTGGTCTATATACTATGACACAATATACGCCTGTCAGGACCGACGCGATGATATCAAAGCGGGTGTTAAGTCCACCGCAGTCTTGTTCGGAGACTATGTCCGGCCGATTCTATCCTGCTTCGCCATGCTCTTCGTTGCCAGCCTCGCCTTCGCCGGACTGCAGAACTCTCAGGGCCCGTTGTACTTCATGATCACTGTCTTTGGCACCGCAGTTCACCTAGCATGGCAACTGGTAACAATTGACTTCGATGTGGGCTCACAGTGCTGGAAGATGTTCAACGTGCGTCTCTTGCTCTGATGTTACATTATGCCAACTCACTAGTACGACAGGCGAATGGTGATCTCGGCTATATCATATGGGGAGGGATGCTGGCGGATTATCTGCATAGGAGCGCAGCAGTCATGCAGTGAATGTCGTGTGAAATTAAAGATATAATTGCCATCACATGATCGTACCTGACCATTGAATGGGCTACGGACCTACGGTCAGCGCTGTCCACTTCATTGTGCATCGCCTCAGATGTGGTTCCTGTTTCTTGATATTCATCGTCCGGGATGTGACATCGCTCGGATCCCGTTGTTTCTGTCGCCTGCGCGACTGTCAGCAACATACTGGAAGTAGGTCCGCTCCGTGATTGTCGCCAATTGCTCGTATAGCTAGCAAATTACGAAGCTGATGTGTTCAATGTGTTATCGCATTGGCATTCTGAACTGCGTCCTTCCTGATGGGTGTATCTTTGTTCTAGAGTCGCTCCGACACGTTATTTCCACAAATGGCTAGAACCTGAGATGGACTCTAGTATGTTATGGGGGCTGACAGGCCCAATTTGATTAATCGTGGTGCTTCTAGCAAGTACTAGGATCATACGATAAGCGCAAATGGCATGTATTCCTGCGCATCGCAGCATCATCCGGCCCGCAAATGCGAAATAAAAACAGACTCTGTGTGCACATAGCAGTTTCGGTTATCTGCCTACTACACCACTCACTGGTTTGGGTTTGGTTTCAAAGAAAACAGATCATTGTTACAAAAGTGCGTAACAGGGCGAGTTCCGATGGAAACACTGCTGAGCGTCGTAATTAACTGACTTGTACACTGAACAGAACTAAGCACTTGTCATGAAACACCACAGATGCTGTGGAAACTCTGTACTGAATACATTTCAGGCGCCATCCTTGACAGACACCCACGACGGGCGCGACGTAATGTCCTTCCACCATCTGGGCCTAACGTTGGCATCCTCAGTAATGTATAGGAGGTATCTGCACGCACCTGGCAACATTCGGTCGGGTCTCAGACCCAAGGTCAATGCGCATCATGCCGAGCATCGAGCCATAGGGGATATGAAATAAGTCCGCCAGAGACACCTCCTGAAGAGGTGCTACGTGAGAGGCGCTCTCGGGGACATCCAGACAACTCACCTCGCCGGCAAGGTACTTCGTCTTCGAGAGGATGACCTCGTATACATCCAATTTGGCGCCGAGTTGCTGCGTAATCTGTGCCACTAGCGCTTCGTTGGTCTCGCCAAGTCCCCTGCGTCTACAAGATAGGTGAGCCTTTGCCCAGGGCAGGGTCTTACAGAAACCCACTCACGGTTTGACTAATCTTTCAAACGCCAAGGTGCTAGCTAAAGGGTCGAAGTTGCTGAGCTCGATACTGGCGGCTTGCTCGAAGAGGGCCGTCTTCTTCAGGTCTGCCGGGTCAGGCATGAGCTTGTTTCCCTGGTCAGGATACTTGAGGGCGATGTAGCGCCCGATGGCGCGACTCTCGAAGAGCTGGAATCCGTCGTCATCGACAATGTAGGGAACCTGCCCAAACGGTTGATTGGCCAAGTACGATGGACTCTTGTTCTCGTTTTTGGTTAAATCGACCGGGACGAGCTTATAGGGGACGTTCTTCTCCTTGAGTACGAGAGCGACCCGACGAGTGCAGGTGGACAAGGGGAAGCCGTGAAGTTTCAGGACCATCTCGATATAAGTTCTGTAGAAGACTACGGAGTCCAGTTATCGGGTCAGTTAGCAGTAGTGTCAAGTCTTCGGGTCGTTGTCGTAGTGGGGGTTTTGTGCTCGTGGGATCGGAACCCGGGTGTTGTCGACGTTAGTACAGCCTCCTCGTGGACTGAGAGTTCGGGATCAGATTAGATAGAATAGCCCCAGCGCTAGCTGAGACTGGAAGGAGTGAATCGCGAAGAGAGGATCGCGTACCTGGGAGGATTCGTAGACTTTGAGGAGAAGCGAGAGTGTCGCCTAGGATCCAGCAAAGGTTCGAATATTTAGATTAAGAGAATTGTGAATAGCGCGTGGTTCGCTGGCTCGTACAGGCCCATTTCTTCTCCCTATATACCCGTAACCCAGTAGTCTTCACATGAAGTAGTCTAGTACATGCATATCAGTCGTGGTGTGCCGAGAATGAACAGTACCATCGCTAAACATCATGCGATCGCAGGCTATTGTTCGGGGAGTCAGCGTGATGAGTCTCGACTCTATTTACGAACGCGTTGCTCCCCCAACAAGCGGAGGAGGCACGATCACGCGCTCGACCCTATGTCCCGCGCGCAATCCGCGTCGCTCAGGCCGTCCAGAACGGGGGATACAGGGTGAAGAGAGATAGAAAACGAACAAGCAATGTTTCTGCCGACCCTACACGCCTCACGCGCGTGTCTTATCTTATTGTCTTGATATTCGCACGATACGCTGCGCCGATTCCTGCTTGATGCGCACCATCGTCGTTTAGCCATGGAATGCATTGCGTAGTTGTTCGGGAGGCGCGATGTTGACGAGGTGGTCCAGCGAAAGAGACCGAGAAGGCGCGATCGTGGTTCAAAACACGAAGCGCGCGACCTGCGCTTGCAAGACGTCTTCCTGCGGATTTTGCCAGTGAACCACTTGGCCCTACCACATCGGTTATATAACACGTTTCATCGTGGTTCTAAGAAGCACGACGAAAAAGGTGTTCGACAACCACCGATGGTGCGCTGACGAGCTTTGCGAGAAGTGCCGACCGAATGCGTAAGCCCCATCGGATAGACCAGACGATCCGTGTCCTCCATGGCAGAGGGCTTCCTTCCTGAAAACGCCCTTCGTTGGGAAATAGTAAGGTGCACAAAACGTTCCCGATTCTCAACTAGTGATCCCTTGCTCTACATTCTCTTCTGGAAGGACGTATGGCATAGTAGGAGTTGAATACATCATTAGAAGGACCACCCAACGACTAGCATCAAATGTTGATGGAGCGAGTCGACAGCTGTGTGATTAGCGCTGAATAACCAGGTAAACACATCTCACAGTCTACGGAGTACTTCCTTAAACCTTGTTTTCATATCGCAAGCATTGCAAAAAAGCGTATGAGAGCAGCGAGTCAGCAAGAAGAGACATTCTGAGGCATTGAGCACATTCCAAGAAGTCGCGAATGGGGGCACTGCGCCGCGCGGAAATTCGGCGTCCACTCCGGAAAGCGCCGAAGTTGCGAATTTCTGTGAATCTTTCTCAATCACCTCCGCCGCTTCGACCGCTAGGTTCAGACTCAGAGCAATACGTATAGAGCATCAGCTCTCGAATCCGGGCCTTTAGCGGACATTCTCAAATTCATAGAGAACACGACAATGCTGTAAAGCCATCATGCTCCCGTGTTTCCGAACTCGCCTACGGTCAGAGCATATTTCTCTTCCGATGACGGCGGATGTTCTTGTATTCCCTTGCGATTGCTTATCCCCTCCGACTTTCTTTGCCTCGTTACATCAGCATGCTCATACACCACGCCGGTGACGAGAAAGTGGTCGATCAATGCATGTGGGCCAGTTTGTGTCCCCGGCTTCCTAATATTAAGAAGTACGTGAAGTTTTATTATGTTCGACGGACCGTTTAAACTTTATCTTCCATGTTCTGTCGCACTCTTCTCTTGCCACGTCAAGCAGGTCCAAGATTTGTGACACGTCCAGCCCTGAGCCAAGTATCCCCCCTGACACTTTGCTGGCGTCTCGGCTATAACTATCTATAGGAGCTAGCGCGGTGCATCGCCTTGTGATAACATACTCTGTGTGTGCTCAGGACGCTGCGTATCTGGATCCGAGGTGGTCCTGGCGATTTGCGCCGACGGCTGAGGCGACGATGGGCATATCGTTACGGTGGTTTGCGCGAATACACGAGTGCGAGGGCGACACAGTGCTGTAAATCGCTATCCCCCATCAACGGTTTTGCATCTAGCCCACATACGAGGCTGACTTGATTAAGTTCTACGATATTGGTCTGCACCGCCATGATTGGAAGGCGACCCGTTTGCGACAGCGCGCTGTTAGGCCAAGGGCTCCCACGACACTATTTCTTGAAGGAGCAAAATGTTACATATCACCGAGGAGTCTCGGAACCGCAGCATTCACGTTTGAACGATCCTCCCATGGCTCACATCTCCTATGCAGATGTCCTTGTCGTCGGAGCAGGACCCGCAGGGCTCATGATGGCGGGCTGCCTGGCCCATCTGAATGTGAATGTACGAATCATTGACCATAGGTACCTCGTACTGTTGCATGCTTAACAGTCTCTACACTGAACTTGACATCGCGTGTAGACTCTCAGATGAATTTGCTGGACATGCCGATGGTATTCAACCGAGAACCATTGAGATCTGGGAAAGCCTGGGGATAGCTGATGCACTGAAGCGTGTCGGACGCCAGACCCACCGTTTAGTGCGTTGTGACAGTCGCCGAGAAACCTCGCGTTGACATATCATTACCCTGCCGGGTAGGTGACCTATCAAGCCAACGAGGATAGCACAGGTATAAAGGTACGTACAAGGGACAGCGTACATGGCACATCTTAGGGTGAACATCACACAGAGAAGCAAGGATACCCGTAATATATCCATCGATACCGCTCGATATCCCTTCGAGGTGAGCTATTTGAAAATCAACGCAGCCATCCCTCTGTTCACGCAGAGGCAGATTATCGCACATCCAGAGGACATCGAGAAGATCTTAAGAGATGAGCTTGTTAATCATGGTATTCACATCCAACAACCTGTCGTACCGGTCAACCTTTGCGTATCTGCCGATCGGAATGAAGACGGCGACTATCCCGTGGAGGCGAGTCGATCTCCTTAGTGGCCTTGTACACATCACGCCAACAAAGCTTTCATAGGTGGCATGCACATATCTGGATGAAGAACGTTTGAGGACACACGTAGTCCCTGTCAACGCCAGAGACGACTGCGCACAGAAACCTGAGTACACACAACGCCAAGAGCTGGTCCGCGCAAAGTACGTGGTAGGCTGTGATGGTGTGTTTCATTTGCGCTAGCGCGGCGCTACTTCATCTGATCGATTGAATTGACTAGGTGCACACTCTTGGGTACGCAAACAATGCGGAATCTCAATGGAGGGCAACCCAGCTGGTATGTCAGCGTTCTACTCTTGCACTACCTCTCATTTTTGCACCCTGAAGGTCTCACGTGGGGTGTAATGGACTTCATTCCGGACACAAACTTCCCCACGACTCAAGCGAAAAATATCATCCAATCTCCTCTCACAGGAATTCTAGGAGTATGTCGTACTCCGTGCCCCAGTTCCCAGCTGACGACTGTTCCAAAGTTCGTCCCACGGCCCGATGGCATACTCCGTCTCTACTCGGTGTTGCGTCCAAATGCAGATCCTGACTCGAATGGAGACTCGGGTGAAGATGTTTCGTCGACCATGTCGCGTGCAAGTTCAACCCTCGGCGGCAAGATCATGTTTACTGAACGTCGTCCAGATTATAGAACGCGGGTTCCTTCCGTACAGTATGAAAGCCAAAGAAATCACATGGTGCAGTCAATACAAAGGTAAGCGTTGGGCAAACGCTACTGTCGGCGTCTGTTGACGCGCCGATACAATAGTTATTCAACGCGTAGCGTCTTCCTTCTCTTATCGCGAGCGCGTTTTTATAGCAGGCGACGCATGTACGCGGCTGATTGTAGTTTCTTTCTTTGGCGATCACTCACCTCGACTAGGTCACATACATTCTCCCAACGCTGGGCAGGGAGCAAACGTATCGATGTCTGATGCGTACAATCTTGGTAAATAATTCAATTACATCCGAGTGCTTCTTGAGAATGAACACGCTATCTAGCTTGGAAGCTGGCGTATGCGCTAAGCGGACAGGCCACTGGCCGGATACTGGACACGTATGAAGAGGAACGACGGCCTTGCAGTATCGAGCTCATAAATCTCGACAAAGAGCTGCACAAGCTGAACCGTCCGGATTCCTTGTTTGCAAACGAATATGTGAAGTGAGCTGGTTTCACATAAACCTTCACAGCTGTATCGCAGTGTTCATTTCGGCGCTAGACTCATCCAAGGCCAGAACCTGTTCACAACGTGCGTATTTGCGATGCGTAATTATCGCCTTGCCTGATAATATTCTCAGTGGAATAGGACTGGAATATCGATCTCGGCTGACGGTTGAGGGATTCCAGTCTCTTGCCCCTGGTCTACCGCTGGGGCAACGGCTACCTCCTGGCGACATTCTGCGATGCTCCGACTGGAACCCTTGCAACCTACATGACCTCATTCGCTACACTCTCCCCTTCAAGGTCATCGTTTTCCCAGGCAATCTCCTTGAAGCAGTTGTATCGACCCGTCTGAGCGACTTCGCCACGAGTATAACAACATCCCTCGACGATACAAAACAGAGTATAATTGAAATGTCAGTCATTCTTCGTTCCTCGAAGTACGCTCTTCCGCAGGTGCCGGATTTGCCAGACATGCTGTCCGATTCCAGGTGTGTTCATTTATCGCGAAATGACATTCGGAGCTGAAGTGCAATGCATGCAGATTGTATTTGGACGATGACGAGCATACGTCTGAACCCGAGTGGCAGGATAGGCTACACGGGACCCTCGGTATCTCTGAGGAAGGCGTAGCTACTTTGGTGCGCCCTGACGGACATATTGCTATGCTGACGCCGTGCACTATGGAGGGCGCGGCGCGGATCGTAGAGTATTTAGCGGCACTCTGACAAGATCGATGTCCCCGGACCCTTGTTTAACTCCACTCCTGAATCCTGATACATTCTCTTTCGATCATGGCTGAACTGGCGCGTCATGCATAAGCGTACCGCATCTTCCATGACAACGCACGTTTAAAGGTTGACAACCACATCTCGAGGTCTGTAAACGCCGCAAGTGGGAACAATCATTGCAATCTGGACTGCTTCTCGCTGCTGATGTGTGAGGCTGACAACCATCATCCAGTCCGATTCAAAATGTCCGGCGTGCAGGGGAGAGCGAAACCTATCGTTGAGCATACCTTATCCATCCTACCTTCGCCATGGGTAAACGTCCAAGGCCGAGGAAGTCCCTGCCCCCCGCAGTACGCCACTTTCTGGCCGATATCTTCAAGCTCGCTCCCGCCCTGCCCGAGAAACAGCCTCTGGATGTGGTCCTGACAGGCTCAACTGTCACCGCGCACGGGCGGTCCCCTCCCAAAGCTAGCTTGACGACCCGCCCGGCATGCATTGCGTTGCAGAACGAAGACCGAGACGAAGACGCTGTGGTCATCACCTCCTTGAACGTCATCCCATTTTGCTGCCACGCGGACTTGCTCACTATGTCGCGCGCCGAGCTGGTCGTGGTGGCTGACACGCTCAACGCGAGGCTTCCCCGCATCCTCAGTATCGATGTTGGTCGGTCTCGCTCGGCGGCGTACATCCGGAAGTCGATCGAGCTGCTCGTAGGCCTGCGCAAGGACGCTACCCAGACGCCGGAAGCAGAGAGGTCGCGATCGGTCTTCACAGGTGTCGGCGAGGTGTCTCATAGCGCCGGTTCTCCAAGGCTGCTGGATAACGCAACACAGCAAGACGCATCTACTGGAAGCGTCGCTCTGGAAGACTCTCAGGAGGGGTTTAGAGACCCCGACGTCGCATCTCACCGCCCCCAGAAGAAGAGACGTTTTGATGCTGAAGCAACTGTAGAGGCAAGCGACAGGCCTATGATCTCGCGCCCAATCACCCGTTCCCAATCGCACCGGGTAGGGTCCGTACACCCAAACTCGCCTTTACGGAACGACATTACCAATCGCGTTCTGAGGACCCGCAGCCAGAATTTACCGGCGCGGAAGCCAATGCTGAAAGGCATCCATCCAAACATTACCGTGGCCCGTGGAAGGTCCTCTTCTCGACCTCTTGGATACCTGCACTCACAAAGCACGGTGATGACCTCGACGCCAAAGGGACGGAGGTCACTTGGTGTCGGTCTGGTTCAGCCACCACGCTCTCCGGACGGGGATTCAGCTTCCGCTTCACTCACCTCCAATCTCGCGTCGCCGATCGTGGAGAAGGTGAAGCGTACCTTGAAGCGCAAGCTGGATCAGACACCCCAGGATACGACGGACCTGACGTTCGGGATCGAGGGGCTGACGATGCCGCCTACCGCTTCGGCTTCGGATATGCACAGCGGCACTGTGTAGAAGCAATGGTTAAGAACTACACGTATTACATCCATGGTTTTCATTGAGTCTAGAGGGTTTCGCCGCTCGTTGGATATCCGTATTGTTTGGGCATTCACCTATGATATAAAGTTGCTTCTCCAAATCAAGCCAGTGTATTGCTCCAAGGCGAACGTGAGCCATTTTGGAGCCTCAGTCCCTGATTTTGCCTTCAGTACGTGATGAGTTTGTGAGAGGCCTTGGCTACATTTTTCTGCATGCCGATGACCACCTCATTGCGTGTGATTAACCTAGTGGTGGTCTCAGGACAGAATGCGGGCGTCTAGTGGGAGACGCGTGAACCGTGACGAGACGCGTCTCACATGCACGTGCCCAATGCCCGTGCCTTGTCACGCCCACTCTCAGCCTGCAGAGACAGTCGTGACTTTGGCTTCCGACTCTTTTGTCTTGTACTCTTCGTCTACACCACTCTGCTATTCTACCGGCTTGAAGCCTACTCCTCTAGCTCTAGGATCCTGCTACTAAGGCACAAGACACTTGTGGGTCGTGGCCGAGCAACTCGGATTGTCCAACCATGCAGAATGGTTCGGCCTCGAAGTCGGTGGCTTCAACGCCTATACGAGCCATAACATCGACGCTTTCTGTTCGGTCAGCGCCGTCAGTGCCACCAGCTTCACAGACATATGAACCTCTCGTCAAGAGCATCCTGCGCCACCGCCTGCTTTACAAGATCCTCCTACCCTCCTTTGGTTATGCCTGGGCTCTGACGACTGTCTGGTCGTTGTGGAGTCAAGGAGGACTACCTCGTTTGGGTCTCTTGGGGACATTCACAAATATTTTGAAACCCACGACATTGACGTATGCGTCCGCGCTATGGCTGTTTGGCGTACTACCGGCAATAGTCCTGCGAAATAGATATCTGACAGGTGAGTATTGTGTAGTATGTCTATTGATCAGTGAGCAGCCAGAGATATTCCTGACTGCCCTGTAAGTCATGGTCGTGGTTGCATCAAGAATGCCGCGCGGGGATTTCATGTAGTGCCAATCAGCAAATACCCTGCATCTGCCAGCTCGTAGTCCTACTCTTGACTGGAAATATAAGACTCGATGTCACTGTTGGTTACTATGCATCGGTGCATAAATGGGGAACGCAAAACCACGCTGCTAGCTGGCTCTGTCCGCTCTGCAGCCAATATGGTTCTCGACAGCATCTGGAGGCCTCCAGCGAGATTGATACCATTACTGGGGTTCTGTGGATTTTCCACGGCTCATGGCTCCTGTGCTTTACTTTTGTTATTAACATTACTTCTCAGTAACACCGGCGGCGGCCTCATCCCCGTCGAAGATGTTGTATGTCGCACTCAGCAAAAACAGCACAGCATACGCCCTTATGACCTACATTATGTCATCCCTACTACTCGCTGCTATTCACGTCGCCATGGCGTATACGTATGAACCGGCTGCTGAGGGAAACCCGCGGCTTACCCTGTTCGTCAAGTCTAAGTACGTGGCTTCTCATACGAGATTGATGTCTACTGATGCACGTAGGCTAGAAAGCACCCATACTATCTGAATGGGCGTCTTCTATACTTGCTTTCTTCACAGATTGCTCTGGCTTTTGCGTACCTCTTCCGAACTGTCCTTATGGACCGTTTTGCTGTTCGTTGGAAGAATCTCCTCCACGATGTAAGTCTTATTGCATCGTCTTTACAGCACAGCGTTTCTCACGTATCACAGCCAGAGACAAACGCGCACCAGTATCTTCTCGCTCGATTTGTTGTTGCGCTCACTACAGTCTCGCTCTTCACCACACTCAACTGCACCATGCACGCATTCCTCTTCGGACTTTTGCGGTCCGTGGTGCTACCGCTGCTGTACATGATGCCAATCGTCCCACAGTTCCTGCGGCCCTTCACAGCGCACTTCCTCCGGGGCTCATGGACGATGACCTTGTTCTTCCGGCACTGGTCGCTGCTCTGGAGGTCATTCTTTTTGTGCCTCACGACTACGACATGTTGGGAGATGGCAGAAAGTCCGTTAGATGAGGTAAGGAGCGGCATCGCGTTCTCCCTCTAGATCTGATATAACATCCCTACAGCCCGTCACTGTTGCGCACACAACGGCGGATCCAGTGTTGACCGTAGTCTCCGGCATCACCTCTGCGGATGGGTACTTCAAGCATTTCGCCTACGCCGAACTGAGCCAGCTTGCGAGAGGATACTCTCCCGCTGCTAGCGCGCGCCGATCGGCGCTATTTGCAGACCAGAAGTACAATCCAAGCATGTGGGCATGTCTGGTGCGCGACGCGCTCCTCACGCTCGGCAAGGATTACCAACTACTCCTCCGTCGAGGAAGCCCAGAGGCTCCTGGTGCGTGTCTGTAATCCTTCATCTACCGTCACTGACGATAAGGCTGCAGCTCCTGCTCCTGCACCTGCGCCTCCAAAGCCGGAGCCGACCCTCCCCGCGACCCCACTAAAGCTTCTCCGTACCTCCGTCCTTAAGCCGACTCCAACGTCGCCTCTGCGCGCCGCTCTTGACACGCTCGCCTCAGACGGAGCGATATCCTCTGCGGCTGATAGCGGTGTCTCGCAGATCCCAGAGCTCTTCCGCTCCATGGTACACGCGAGCCCATCCGCAGAGAAGGCGATTGAGTCGGTAAAGCGGAGTGAGGAAAGAGTCGTTGGGATGTTCGAGGAGACGAGGACCAAATTGCAGCAGCGAATGGAGGCAGCGGTGCACGGGCGTGTGCCGGCGGCAGCGCTAGAGAAAATGACGCCCGCATTCGGAGTGGTGGAGCGGGTGAGGCAGTGGTGGACGAGGGATCGAGTGAATAAGCTCGTGGAGATGTCTCTGCCGAACAGACATCTCGATGCATTGGCCATCAGCAGTGAGTCCGTTTGTTCGTGGCCTGAGCGTGGCAGTGTGGCTTAAAGAGCGATCCACCCAGTTTTGTCCCGTTTGACGTGCGCATCGCTCACGGAAGACAGCTATGGCGTCGTTCAGAGGGACATTCCCAAGATCATCGAGGCATTGCTGTCGTTCTTGGCTGCGGTCGAGGAGTACCAAGCTGAGATCAGCAAGACACATGTAACCCCCTCACCAGAAGAGCTACAGAACATGTCTGCGAAGGAGAGGCAGGAGAAAGAGCGGCTGATGACTGAGCTCGAACAAGCCGGCCAGATCTTCGCCGAAGTCAACGATGGTGAGTAGATGATGTCCATACTGTCATACGTTCGCAGCGGTCGCGACTTAAGTGTTGACCGTATGCTTTACTGTCTCTTATGCTGATCACTCATCCTTTCACAGGGCTGAAGGAAGGTATTGTGCACATCGTACGGACCTTCGGAGACAAGCTGGCTGCATTCAGGTTCCCGCCAAGGATAGCGCAAAAGCTACAGGGGTATGTCGACTATTCATGAGGTCGTAAAATTTGTATTTCCGATATCTGCAACGAAACCATCATGAGCGCGAGTACTTAGGGAGGAATCCCTGCAAATATGACTACGGGCTCGAGTCAGTACATTTTCCATGAAATCTCTACATGTACGCAATGGCTCGCGACCCTTCTCGCTCTCTTACCTTACATTGCGAGAATCACTCTTAGTTCACTCGTCCCAGCGTCATGGCTGGAAACCCCTACCGCACGGATACATGCTTCACGATGATGTGGTCATTGTTCTACGTGCACAAATTACAGAATGGCAAGGCTGGGGCGGGATACGCTCGCAGAAACGGCGCCTATGTTTGGGTTCATCGCCTCACGTCCATCGCAACTTCATAAGTGACCAACTGTAGCTTGTCAACAAGCATTTGTAACGGATTCGCTGCTCACTATCTACAATATCAAGTCATTTGTGCGAGAATGTGGAGGTTTCCACGACTCGACTCCTGGAACAAACTTCTGGGATGCGACGGTCAAGACTCGAGTGTAGGCAGTAGTCCATGATGGAGCAAGTATCAGAGCCCACCGTCACTCGAGGAACGACCAAAGTGCGCATCTTGCAACTGCATCCTACTGGTGACACTGGAGCACAAGATTGGGTCATGGCAATGCTATATATATCTTACAATTGGCTACAAAGACATTCCATAGGGGTTCGTGAAGTCGTTCATACAATAGACCAGACGCCACATACGCCGTTCACAGAACACATGGACAAAGGCGTAACTGCAGCAAGGCTATGCATAACTAAACGAGTCAACATGCAGGATCACATTCGGACCGCCCTTTAAGGAGACGGAAGGGCCGCCGACAGGAAAGTTGAGCGCAGAGCGGCATGTTTGAGCAATTGCCGCAGAGCCACACACTGTTCGGAATGCACGCGTTTAGCCGTCCTACCTCGTATGTACAATGACGTTGGCAGACTCACCTGAGACAGAGAGGCGTCCAGACGCGGTGGCCACCTCGTCGCGAAGTAGTATATGCAAATCCGGCCGGCCCGAGCACAGCTGCACCGCAGACAAGTCTAGCAGCGAGGTCACCGCGGAGCTCTTCGTATCCGAGTCCGAGTCACCGTTGTGGACCGACTCGGAGTCGAACTTTTGGTGTGACACGGGCAGCTCACCCGAGGTGACGTAGATGCGGATGCTGATGCTGAGATCCGGCGGTGCGAGCTCCAAAGCCTCCTGTAGCGCCTTCGACACCCAGTCGATGTAGCCTGTGAATGTGGCTCAGACTCGTGCGATGGTGCGAGTGACGTTGAGACTCACTCAAATCGCGGATGGCCCAGATCCAGACAATCTTGCGTGTGATACTCTTACCGGCGCGGACATCACTGGCGGGGAGGCTGGGTTCAGTTACTAGACGCAAACGGCGACAGCGAGGACTTACGTGATGGCGCCCATGAACGTCGGAAGCGTGAACGTGACTCCCGACCCACCTGCACAATGGCAGTCAGCATATGCCACAGCTTAGAAACCGCAAGCGCGTCGTACCCGCCACGAACACGACCTCGTCGTCGTCCTTGAGGTCCGGAATCAGACCGTAGGGTCCATCGATGAGCGCAGCCACCTTCCGCCCCTCGCGCGCATACTTAACCAGGCGCTTCGTGATGCCCTCGCGGACGTCGACGAGGAAGACCATCTCGCGCCAATACGGCTCGGACACAACCGCAGCCTGCGCCTGCGCCTTCTCCTTCTCGAGATCTCCGGACACGCCCGCAACCTCCGTGACGGGCGTGTCGACGCTCGCGATCGTGAACGGGTGTGCCTCCGTGGGCAGCCGCGACACGCCGGGCAGGATGAGGTACACGAGCTGGCCGGGGCGCCAGCGGAGGTGCCGCGGGCGCGCGATGCGCAGGCGGATAAACTTGGGCGAGAGTAGCTCGACGGACGCGTGGAAGGCCTCGCGGCGGCCGAACGGCCAGAAGTAACCGTGGTTATACACGACGACGCGCACGAAGCGGATGAAGCGGTCGAGCGCCCAGATGAGGAAGCAGGGCCAGACGTACGAGCCCGATTGCGGGATCTTTGCGTGGTAGTAGCCGCCAAGGAGGAAGACCCTGGACAAGGGTACGCCGTCAGCGTGCTATCGGGATATCGAGCGGGGACGGTACGTACAGGACACCGAAGAAATGTATGACGAAGAAGAGCTCGTATGCCTTGGATCGGATCGGCCGCAAGGACACCAAGCACACGAGACTGAAAGCTACCATGCCGAGCAGACCCATCGGGATGAAATACCAGCAATAATCGGACCAAACTTTCCAAGGGAGTCTGCAAACAAATAATCTCATAAGTGCCTTGACCTCTCGCCCAAACTACAGCACACACTGCACAAGCTGAGGGGTAACGGTCAGAACACATGGTCAATACAATGCAAAACGTTTTGAGAAAGCTTACTTCGCCTCCACTATGCACCCAAAGAAGCACGAATACCACTCGGGCAGTCATACGATGAATGTAATTTAGCTGGACATTCCTTCAGTACATTTCGAAAGCTGCTATACACAGAAAAGCTTACCTTGTCCTCGGGGATGCCAACGAGGTCTATGTTATGTAAATAAGTCGCCGTCACATTCAAAAGGTGAGCCCACATACAGGCCAGTACGTTGTTCTTGGTGCCAGTCACCGTGACCAGAGGCAATTGAGCCGTAGCGATGTCCCCTGCCCTGAGTTTCCAATATTGCAAGTCGAGTTTACCGCCCTCAAGATTGGTCGCTGAAAATGACGTTAAAAGCGGCTGCCAATAGCGGTGAATATCGACACGCACTATTGATGAAATTCCAAGTGAAAAGGATGACGATATACGCGCATGTGACAAAGACCTCAGCGAGATTGAGAGTATAGCCGCGGATAGAGATCGTCCAGCGGAAGGCCATGACACGGTAGGCGTTGATGATTGCGCGGGGAATATGTCTTATGGAGAAACGTTGAGGGGAGACATGGCTCCCACCCTCGGAATCACTACGTGACTTCGAGCGCATCCTCGTACCGAGCTTGAGGGCCACCCACGATCCGAATTGGAAGAATGAGACGGTTGCGACGAAGCAGGCGATACAGTACCACGTCTGCTTGGGGTACAACTTGCTCCTGATGTAGAGGATGTCATCGTCGCCCTGGAGCTGCAGCTCATCGCGAGCGGCGAGAGACCCGGAAGCGGTCATAGAAGCAGCCATAACGGATCGAGCAAGTCGACGGCGGGTTGAGGTAGTCTGCAGATACTTCTCGAGATCCTTCGGGGGACAAGAAAATGCGAGGAGCCCTGAGAGAAGCCTCGTCTCGGTACCGAAGGCTTTTGTATGCCGCGGGCAGGATCGAGCCGTACAAGTCTCCGGAAGTTCTGACAGATGAGATCGCGTCTTCCAAGCCGATCTCTAAATAAGCTGCGCGTTTTCCGTCCGGATCGCTGCCTGGAAGAAAAGTAGCGAGAGACAAGGGTCCAGCGTCGGTTCCGGAACAATCATAGGCGGCCCTGGGGAGACTGGGCCAACCTCAGGCACAGCCTGCAAAAATCCGCAGGCAGGTACCCTCGCCTTGTGCTTCTGGTGCGTTTTGGTAGATTGCATTTCGCGTTCTGGCCTGGGAGGAGGGAGTGGTAAGTAGGCTTGGCCGGCTGCTCGACGAATAGGAAGGGTTCGCTTCGATCATTGATCGCGGGCTCATCTTATCTGATAAACATTAATATCTTGGCATCTAATCCATCGCATGCTCTCGCCGCAATGACGCACCTCATCGCATGGCGGTCCCCCGCCTGCAAGCTCTGGACAGATCACAACTGCCGGGACGATCTTGGGCTGCGGGTGAAGGAATTTCTGCACATGATGTTCTGAGAATGAGCGCGAGGAAAAGAACAAAAGATGAGGGTTCACATACCGGGCATCGAGGACCATGAAGGAGGTCAGCGATATGAGAAAATGTGAGAACCTCTGGCGGAAGGAGGCAAAGAAGTTGTGATTGACCATGCGTGTCATCGGAGTTTGTTGCCGTGGATGCACATGCAAGCGATGTCCCTTGTGACCGCAAGGATAGATGCTAGTGTATCAAAGTATGATGTGAGCTCTCTTCGTAGCCCTTCATAGCACATATCCTTCCTTGGGCACTTCGCAGAACACAGTTGAGGCGATCGCTCAAACAGACCAGGGTGATCCATCGAAGGCGCTGCCTTGGATACTCCGCCATGATGGAGTGGAACTGAATAGAAATCGGCAGTATACACTGCCATTGATTAAGGCAGTTCGTAGCATGCGCCGTGTTAATAGTTGGCAGCATGGATAAGCACCTCGTATTGGCGGCTCGCCATCGAGGCGCTCATAGAAGCGTCAGAATTGTGAACGCCAAATTTAAGCAAAAACAGAAGCGAGCCGTCAGTTCAATACGGTAGGTGATAAAATCAATTTGGCATTACGCTGATGATTGAAAAGATTGGGGTATGGAAAGGAATGATGACGATATAACTACGTACCGATCTGGCCTTCATGGTAATCGGTGTGTAGCATCCCTGCATAGTGCTGGAGCCAGCCCGAAAGAACGCATCAGCACGCACTTCTTTACGAAGGCGAGGTCAGGCCTTGCAACGTGCAAAACAGTAGAAAACAGTGGGCCCTCGCTGCCACGTTGCCGAACAGGCCCCTACTCAACGATCGCGATAGCGACAGCCCAAACTTAAAGACAGCATATATAATCGAAGTATAGCTGCACGGGCCGACGAGACCGTTTGTTATTATACCTGTGGCCAAGAACACTTGTGATTCAGCGTAGCCGGCTGGACACGACAAACTAAGTGATCCAGTTAAAAAAGGAAAGCTCAAAGCGCTATAGATTGCAGCATTCTGGAATAAGCCAGGGCTAGAGCTAATGTTATTGACTGCCAAAGCCAGGATCAATGAGGTATCAACGAGGAGTGTTATGCTGCAAAGTGGTGGAGGTCCAGGTGAGAGTTTGAACGAAGCTACTTGCAGCAGTTGTGCAACGAACGCGGTCACGTGATTGTATTTGTGCGGTATACACCGTACAGACTCCGCACGCAGAGGGCGCGCTCTGGGAAACACCGCATAAAATGCCTTGCAAAGCCAAGATTGAGCATAGGATCCATGATGACCATTGGCGATAATCCGCTCGAGACTCGAGTACTTACAATCGACCAGCAGCAGGATATAGATATTCACTGGAACTACGACTGCGCAGTACGTGTACCGCGGCGGTCCGCCTCACTCATTTGCATGACGATGTATAGTCAACCGGGATCCTGGTTTAGGTTTAGTCGATGACCTCCTCAACGACAGGGTCCCGCGCATTCAAGTCATGCATTATGTCCTCCGCGGGATCGGGCCGAGGTGAATAATGAACATGCGCACATCAATTGAACGATCGCGAGTTATTAGGCGAACGCGATCGGGAGCGACTAGCGATCGCTAATCATCATCCTTAATACCTTTTCTGTACAATTTGAAGTCCATGACAAGGCGAGCCATGACATCAGCAACTCTCAGTGCCGTGTCTAGCTCTCATGACTACTCGACACGTGAAGGCTGAAAGATGCGCATCATGAGCGAAATTCGAAAACAGTCTAGTGCGTAAGCCGCACTGTGAAGACAATTCACGATGATGCATTCAAGCCGTTGGTTCTACAATCTATATATGCCACCAAAAGTCGGAGATTTACACTTGATACACATGACATTACTAATGCAAGAGTGATTGTCCTTTCAGAGAGCGGCCAAGACAGCATCTGCACCGGAGACCGTAACATCTGCTCCTGGCTCGAGCTGCACAGAAAGTCAGTGATCTTGCGTATTTAACAAAGAGGGAAAACGCACCCCAATGTACTTGATCTTAAGGTCGTCCAAGACCAAGGCATAGCGGTCGGTGCGGGTACCGAAGCCAATGGCCGAGAGATCTTTGTCAAGACCGAGCGACTTGGACCACTTCGCGTCGGAATCAGAGAGCGCGACGATCTATTTAGCCAGAGATCAGCAGATCGTACAAAAATGGGCACAATGCTCTTCACCTTGTCCTTCAATCCGAAAACGCGCGCCCAGCCGCTCATGACGAAGGCGTCGTTCGCGGCGACAACAGCGACGACATCAACGCCCTTCTTCTTGAACTCCTCGTACTTCTCGAGGTATGGCGGCAGGTGGTTTACGTGGCAGGTAGGCTAGCAACGACCGGTCAGTATTACGGGCACCGCGCGTGAGAGACAATATGCCAACCGTGAAGGCTCCGGGAACGGAGAAAAGGACAACCTTCTTTCCCTTCCATTCACTCGTGGAGAGCTTGGTGGCTGTACACGGACCGCCATGTTATCGAGCAGATCGGGACAATCGGTGGGATGGACTACTCACGGATACCACAGGCGGTGTGATCGTCGAGCTCTGGGGCGTAGGCAATGTAGGCAAAGGTGCCCTCAGGGACGGCGTCGCCAACCTTGACAGTGGGGGCCATTGCGATAGATGGTGTGGAGTTGGGATAGAGAACTGGGGTAATGGGCGAGACGCGATTGCAGGCTTACCCCGTCCCCCTATGTCCTTTAAATCGTCTCTGGACGGTCATGTGACATTACGCGCGAGTTAGTAAACGGCTGTCACAAACGACTGGTCAAGCACACAGATGTGCTGTTATCACCCCGGCGGGGATGTCGGAAATAAGACAACGCATACCATCCGGGTACATCCATGCAGCAACTCTCGCTACCGAGCTGGCGCTGGTGTCTGATAATCAATCCCGCCATGTTGAGCACAAATGAGACGAGCGTGATAGACCGCGGAAGGACATGATTGGAGCGTGGAAAGACCGTGACTGCATAGTCATCAGGAAGCGCCAGGCGCAGACGCCAAGATGCTTGAGACAGACGTTCCAGACGCGTGATGGCAATGTCAAATTTCAGAACGCAAACGGGCGCGTCGCACCAGAATGCAAGATGGGTAAGGCAGCACGAGATTGCGCGTACGCGTCCGACACGATCACGTGATGATAATAAATCGCTCTTCGGCTAAGGATGTGTACCATTAGACGGGTCGGTACGATGGTCGTGGCAGCCCCTTCCATATCGTTATACATACTTGTGCGCAAGTGGGGTTGATGTAGAAACTAGCGGTCGGGACTATGGCCCAACTGCGGCTGGACCCGGCAAGGTATTGTCACAGAGACAACCAACCAAGGCTGTTGTTTCTAGAGCACGCTCATTCCCGCCCGAAGCCCGCTTGCACATACATATTGAGTCCGAAAGGTCTTATGTTGTGGAATCAGCTGCAAATGGCGAGACTGGACGCCTTCCCGCAGGATCTGGACGGTTTGCAGATGCAAACCGGACTTTGAAACAGACCTATTATGCCGGTCTGTGCCGTTTGGCAGAAGAAAGGCGCCCGGAGGCCCGCCGTTACCAGCCGTCAAGTACCATCAGGATGCCAACAAGTACTAACGAGGGCTGAGGTAAGCAGAATGATCCTGTCTGAGCCAACGAGAAGAGAGCGGAGCCCGAAAACAACGTTTGCAGCGCTCGATCTGGTCTGGAGGAGGGTTAACGTGACAATCCAGACTCTTCAAGGCGTCTAACCGTACGGCAGTCGCTTTCGAGGTCAGTCAGATCAGCCGCGTTGCCGACAAGATTTAGAGCTCGATTCTATTCTGCAATCGTGTCCAGACCCCTGCGGGAAGGCATCCGCTAACAATGGAACAAGTCTATACGACAAGGGCTTATTATAAAAGACGTCTATTTATAAAAGATCAGCGGAAAGCAGAAGGACGTCTACTAGAAATGTGATGGTCCGCAACTAAGGATACAAGTGAGAGTGTTCCTACACCGAGTTCTGTGGCGTAAAGGCATTATGTAGCGTGCGGAGCGTGATGCAAAATGCAATGGAAAAGGAAGTGTGATCTCAAACGAAAGTTGGGTCAAACTTTCTCCACGCCAGATTGGCCAAGCTTCTCAGCTTGTATCTGTTTAGCAATCAGCAGGTCCTGCATAATCATATGGCATATTAGCACTCAGAAGCCACGTTACCACTCGGAACCACTCACGGGAGACGGCGAGAATGTGCTCTTCGCGCGGATGTAGGCGCCGTATCGGTAGAAAAGGAATGGTATGGGCGCCAGCAACAAGCCGAGCAACCCTATTAGCGTGCACGCCCAATTGATACCAAGCTGAGGAAAGTACCCGTCAGTTGTCATTGTCGCCAACAAACAATCCGGAAACTTTGCTTACGTTCTGGAACATCTGTGTCGTGAAGAGGGGGAAGGCGGCACCGACAGCAGATCGTATCATCGTGCTCGCCGCCAACGCGGACGCGGTGTACATCAAATATACATCTACCAGATATGTCTGGATGTACGGCGGTGAGCAATCAAGAAAACGTTCGTGTATGGTACTCACGAAGAATGAAATGAACACCATGCTCACACTTGCACCGATGGGGATCGTCGCAAGCGCGGGAACGATCCACGGCACACTAGGATAATTTCCTGTCCATCCTAGCCAGAAGCAACCGATAACGAGGCTGGGGCCACCAAGCATGGCGCCAAACAGCCGTTGCTCCGCAGGTGGGAAACCACGCCATTCCTTCATGAGCCTAGGATAGTGCCTACTGAGCGGAACGAACGCGGCAGCGCCAAGCGTGGTGCCGATCCCAACACCAACGAAGACCAGCCCAGACTCGCCGATGTTGAAGCCTCGGGTCTCGACAAAAATAAAGGGAAGCGCTTCAAACACTGCAGCAGTCATCTATCATCGTGCGGAAGGAAGGAGAAGAGAGCGATAAAAAGACTGACATGCGTAGAGAACGCCGTAGACCAGCGAGAGGTAAAGAGTGACTAGAAGTAAGATGGGCTCGACAGCTAGCATCTTGATTGGTCTGTACAACGTGCGGTGCAGAACGCCTTTGACCGACCAGTCTGCCCGCTCATGCTCAGCATATAGATCTGCATTTCGGACAGGGTCTGCTTTGCGCAAGCGGCGTGCCTGGGCGAATATTTTCAGTCCGCGCGTTTGGCTTTAAGATCCACCCTGGCGTACCTTCTGTTGCAAGAGAATGGGAGCATATGTCTCGGGTACAAAGATGATTGCAATAACGGTGCAAAGCCCTGCAAATATCATCATAATCCAGAAGACCCATCTCCACCCTAGATAGCTCATCGTAATGCTGACGAAGTAGTGGTCAGTACGGTGAGATACTGTGTGCCGGCTGGACTCACAAACCGCCGACAATTGGGCCAAGCACGGGTCCGATAAAGACACCCGCAACAAATAGATTTGTCGCCATTCCGCGTCGGATGGGATCCCAGATGTCGAAGATCAGTCCACCACAGTTTGTGAGGGGCGACACGGCGAAGAAGCCGCTCAGAAAGCGTGTGGCGAGGAGCGCCTCAATATTCGGAGCGAGTGCTTGCCCGAGATGTAGAATTGTGTAGCAGACAAGCGTGATGAGGAACATAGGCTTCCGACCGAACAGCTCTGAGCCGGGGCCCCAGAATGAGGGACCGATGACATAGCCACAGAGGAAGACCGTCGTAACGAGATATACATATTCTGTGGGTTTGTGGAAGTGGAGCGCGATCGCCTCTCCGGCGGACGACGGTGCGGATGATGCAAATGTGCTTTGGGCACAAGGAAAGAGTCAGCGAAATTGCACGGAACTCTGGCATGCGGGGAAGACTTACACATTCACGGTCATGACGAGACATAAGGCTGTGATAAACCATTTCCTTCTGACGGGCCAATTTTGCGGGTTCTCTGGATCGTCAGGGCCTTCCCAGTCGACTTTGTTCCGGTCGCTCTTCTCATCACGGATAGATGATACGTGTACACTATCCCTAGGCTCAGGATCCTGCGGGTCATCTCCACCATACTGCTCCGCTCGTCGCTCTTCCCGTGCCGCTTCTTCCTCCACCCAGGTAGGGATCCGGCGATCCAGGTTTTCGAAGATGGTACTCGTCGAGGAGGTCGGTGTCAACACCCCTGACATGATGTGAGCAGAATTGGGTAGAGCGGACGAGTATAGGCGGCTGCGACAAAGGCCCGCTGCATTGTTTTATATATGGACAACTGTGTTTGCGGTACTCAGGCCGCGCATGTAATCTAGGGAAAGAAGCACCGGCCGCATCAAAAATTAGAAATCGTACGGGGCGATCGCACAGATCGGGCCAGGCATGGGGCCGGATCTTACCAACCTTCCTACCATGTTGGACGGGGCTTCGGTCGCCTCCAGCAGCAAAAACACCGGCTGGAACGTTCGAATCTCCTGTTAAACCATTAACCGCTGCTCGAGGTCATTTTAATCAACTATGTACCGCACCTTGTGGGCGTACTTCTTGCCAACCTCGTCCTCGTATCTCTGCGTAGTTTACAAATATTCCGGCTAAGAGTGTGGGGTATAGCCGCCGACCGAGCAGGTTATCTCAGAATAATTCGGTAAATGACCTACCGGATTGCCGGTGGCCCTGGTCGACCTCGGTGTTTGTCAACTGTTTATCGTAACTCCCGAAGAAGGCGGGCGACAGTTGGACGCGCTCCGCCGCGTGCCTGGACCCACCAATCGTCGGTGCCTGCGCCTTTGATTTTACGGCTAGTCCGTGATAAAGCAGGCGGTCTGTATGCAGACCCTTGTATGGAGAGCATGTCCTTCATTCGAAGCACCTCACGCCCGTTCAGATATTGGGGGCTGTTAAGACGAGTCAATTTTCCGGACGTGGTACTTCCGCGCAAGCTCCGAGGAGCAACATACCGCCGGAATTACTATATTTGGAAGCTTACGTCGTAATCACGTTCCACCTCCCAGCGCCTAATATTCCCCACCTTCTTCCCCGTCCCCGAGCCCGACGCCTAATTACCTGGGACCGGACGTTCAAACAGGTTTCAAACCGACATAATCACAGCTTGTAGTATGGGCAGCTGCGCGAAATAGCTAAGCAAGTCTCGGGCCTTGGCTTCGCAGCCCGGATTTCCTGTGCATGAAGTATGCGACAAGGGGGTATACATGATGTCCATTGTCCGTGTGGTTCGGTCGTTTGTGTGGTTCCTCTTCACTTCCACTGACAGATAGGCTGACTGAGATTCAGCATCCTGTCGTGATCAGGGACCCTTCTGCAGCTAGCGTTGCCCGTAACTGCTGACTGACATGCGATACATGTTTGTGCTCATAACACGTACGACTCGACATGGCGATGATCTTGACACTTTGCCATTAGTTCACTGTCTTGTATCAAGACCCACGATAGTGGTAAGCTATTACAGGTATGGCCTTCCAAGCGAGTGGTGTTTATGCTCTCAGCAAGCGATAGATGACAGAGCAAGTCGTGCGATGAAGGCTACAACAATCTGTAGACTGTCCAGGAATTTCCACGTTCGTCGTATAATTTTACATTTTACATTTTAGGCAGCCAGGATCCAAAGGCACACTATATTTATTCATATGGTTATGCTCACACAGCGTCGCCGACGTCATGTAGCCTCTATGTTCCGGTGGAAATGTGGGAAATGACCCACTGACAAGTCTATGCATAGCCGAATGACTCCACATGCAAGATGACGTTCGGACCGCCCTTCAGGGACGCCGCGGGGCTACCCACGGGGAAGTTGAGCGCCGACCGACATGCTCGGGAAATGGCTTGAGAACCGCAGACTGCAAGGACGAATCATCAATGTTGGACGTGTGACGTCAAGACAGCTGTCCAGCGCACCTGAAACAGACAAGCGCCCCGACACGGCCGCCACCTCGTCGCGGAGCAACGCGTGCAGATCGGGCCGTCCCGAGCTCACCTGCACGGCGGAGAAATCGAGCAAGGAGATGACTGCGCTGCTCTTCTCACCCGAGTGTGCGTCCGAACCTCCCTCGTGTATCGAGTCGTCGTCGAATGCCCGCTGATTTGTCACCGGGAGTGGCTCGCCCGAAGTGACGTAGATGCGGACGCTAATGTCGAGGAATGGCGGCGCGAGCTCCAAGGCCTGCTGCAACGCCTTCGACACCCAGTCGATGTGGCCTGTCGTGCGGGCGTCAGCCATCTATCATAATTCGAGTGACGTGCGAAGCTTACTCGAATCACGGATGGCCCAGATCCAAACAAGCTTGCGGCATGCGCTCTTGCCAGCACGGACGTCGCTACGCGAGACAGCACAGCGTGAGATCGACGGCGTCATCCCAAGTGAGGGGAACTTACTTGACGACGCCCAGGAACGTTGACAGCGTGTACGTCACGCCAGATCCGCCTGCAATAGCGGCGATCAGCAAAATACAATGCAGGCCGCCGAACGTCGCAACCTACCGGCTACCAGCACAACCTCGTCGTCGTCCTTCAGATTCGGCGTCAGGCCATACGGGCCGTCGACGAGCACCTTGACCTTTTCGCCCTTCTGCGCGCGCTCCGCGAGGCGCTTTGTGAAGCCCCCGCGGACGTTGACCAGGAACACGAGCTCGCGCCAGTACGGCTCGCAACTGAACTCGGATTTGGTCTTCGCCTTCTCTTTCTCAAGGTCTGTGGATGCATCGGCCAATTCCGCGGCGGGAGTCTCAACGCTCGCAATTGTAAAGGGGTGCGCCTCAGTAGGAAGCCTCGATACGCCAGGCATGACGATGTAAGCTGTTTGTCCAGGACTCCAGTGGAAGTGTGGCGGGCGCGCAAGGCGCAGGCGGACGAAATGGGGTGAGAGCAGCTCGACAGTCGCGTCAAGGCTGTCGCGCTTGCCGCCGAACCAGAAGTAGCGGTAGTTGAAGACAATGACACGCATGACACGAATGAATCTGTCCAGCGCCCAAATGAGGAAGCTTGGCCAGATGTAATAACCCATCTTCTCCTCCCTGGCGTGGAAGTAGCCCCCGAGTAGCAGAATGCTAAAAATAGATCGGTTAGCGGAGGCGGCTGGGACATGAGATAAGCGCACGTACAGGACCGAGAGAAAGTGGACGATGAAGAAGAACTCATATGCGCGAGCTCGGACTGGCTGCAGGGATATGAAGCACAGGATGCTGAATGCCACCATAGCGGTCAAGCCGACCGGGATGAAATAGAAGGGATACTTTGACCAGTTTAGTCTACGCGATTGGAGACGTAAGCAATCCTCCTGCATGAACTCGGTGTCCATGGACGTACCCTACGAACTAGATAGATATAACATCAAAAAATGTACTGACCATATAACGCATACATCGTAGACTCACTCTGTTTCCGCCGTGTACCCAGAGCAGCACGAATACCACCCGGGCACTCATGCGGTGGACATAGTTCAACTGAGCTTCATCTGAGTACGTGTAGTGTGAACCTACATAGCCCCATGCGTACCTTATCATAGCTGATCCCAGTGATATCTGTCGAAAGCATTAGATGTAGTCGCGTCCACAGGCGAAGCATGCGCACATGATACAACATTGTTCTTGGTACCTAGTACCGTAATGAGAGGGAATTGACTCGCGGCTATGGTGCCCGCCCTGTTGCCCCAATAAACATAATCGAACTTTACGCCCTCAAGGTCGGTTGCTAGGTCTGTCTTAGCAGGCGCCGGGAGAGTAGATAGCCACGGTACGTACTGTTTATGAATTCCCAGATGAAGAGGCCGATGATATACGCGCAGGTGACGAACACTTCAGCAAGATTAAGAGTGTACCAGCTGCCGATATGCAAAGTCCAGCGGAAGGCGATGATGCGATACGTGTTGATGATAGCCCGCGGAATGTGCCGGATAGAGAACCGACGAGGAGCAGGTTGAGCACCGCTTTCAGCATCTCCGTTCGACTTCGAGCCGAACTTCCTGCCCAGCTTCAACGCCACCCAAGAGCCAAATTGGAAGAGCGCGACGGTCGCAATGAAGCAGGCAACAAACCACCACATCTCCTCAGGGTACCGCTTAGCTCTGAAGACGCGTAGCGTCTTGTCTGTAGCCGCCTTGGTTGCTTTGGCGAGAGGCGCGGTGGCGGTCATGGTAGCAGCCATGGCGGATCAAGGAAAGCGATACCGAGTTGAGAAGGAAGGAAGGTACAGCTCAGAATCCTTCAAGGACGAGGGGAGGCGGACGACCCTGGACGACGCACAGCTTCGGGGGAGGGGGGGGCATTTATAGGAGGGCGAACTTCCTATAAGGACAGTTGTCCGAGAATCCGAGAATCCGTTGAAATTCGATGAGATTGCGCGTGCCAAGTGAATTCTTGGTGTAATAGGACGGGAGGTATTTCCAGCCGGATCGCGGTGACGCTGCGATCAATGTCTGTGTAGACTCGGAGCGTTCAGTCTCGGGCACGGATTCCTCTCATTGGCTAGACCAATCGGAGCGCATATCGCAGTGTGCCTTCATCTCGCACCCCGGATCTGGGTGGATTCTACATTCTCGAGAAGCCGTCACCACGCGCCGCATCCAGATCTAGACATCTTGTGTCTCACCGTCGCCAGTTCGAGTCGAGCATCTGGCCCACACCTGTCAAATATGCTGGTGGAATCACAGCCGCCTGAGAAAGAGCGCGACGTGAGACACTTCTCCAGTGTTGGGAACAGTATGATCATTAGTTGTCCTGGCGCGGTGAGAGGGCCCCAGCGCGTCTGGGAAGAATTCAGGTACGGCCGACAGGCTTCCACTAGGAGTGGACTACCGCTTGAGGGATGCAAGGCTTAGCGCATGCTGTATTAAACGTGGTAGATCGCATTTCGCGTTCTGGCCTTCTCGAGAAGGGTTTGGAGAGGGCTTGGCTGGCAGCTCGACGAATGGGAGGTGTCCGCTTCGATCAGCGATCAATGGGTCATCTTATCAGATACAATTTTCGCATATCAGATAAAAATTGCATCTTGGCATCTTATCAATCGCGTGCATGACGCACCGGGGCGCATGGCGCATCCGCCTCTTGCTCCTCCACCTCCTCCGCACGCCGCCAGTCGGCAATCGTTGATCCCGGGTTTCTTTCCTGCCTAACCCTCACAACTGCGGTATGGGAAGTCGACTTTTTGTCTCCCTTCCGACCCCGCAAGGTAGACGATCACCGTGGGTGTCAATTATCGCAAGGAGCATAGCTTACCGCGTGACACGGAAACGCCGGAATGCACATGTGAACGCAGATGTTCCAATGTCGTGAGATCTTGAATGCATCGAATCGAGACAATATGGCGCAGCATGCCACCTTTCGAACTATCACCAAATCCCCTGTGCCGAAGTCGCGACACAGTGGGAAGATCAGTGGGATTTCCTGTCATAAGCAACTTGATCGTCCAGACGAACACACTCATGGAGTGAGTATGGGACACTCACAGTTCGCTCAAATCAATTTTGTTCTGCTCTTTCAGCGGGTGGCGGTTCACTGAACACCATTGAGCAACAGTATCCTCCCCAGCGGTGTCAGCACAAATAAATCTGTGGTTTTGACTGATGGCAGGCGGCGGCCCGGGTCGTTAAGAGCGGTGTTTGACTGTGCAATCTGAGCGATGATATTCCGTAATTCACGTCTACCTGAGTTGCCAAGGTTAGTCGAGGTAAACGTCAGCCGCCGGCAATGTCTAGGAAGAAATAGATTCAGGTCTCTTCAGTTCACACGACAGTGTATATCGGGAGCCAGATGAACATACAGACACCGTACGGTGAGAGCTTCCGAGATGACCGAGGCCTCGGACTTCCTCCATGAATCATCACCGCCAGGGCGTCCAACTGCCATTATCAGAGGGCACAAAATGCAAGAATCTCGGAATGAGCGAGGGGATGCTGAGAGACTGACTGAATACAGTCGCGGCGGTAGACCCACGGGAAGATACGCGCGAGGATCTGCCAGAGACGCTGCCGCATATTCTGTTGTCCAAGCTCTGCTCCGGAGCAAGTCAGTACGCCTTCTGCCTGCAAGGGAAGCTCCTTCGCTACCACGTCCGTTCAAACCTGTCCTATTGATCACGGATCACCTGAACCTGATCAAGCAGACCTCGCGATATGATGGGTTTGATACCGCCGTGGTTATAGACCTTGCTTGCCCTGTTGGTGCGGCTTCCCACCTCATTTACGCTTCTCTGGTCAGAGCGCCACTTAAGGCACAAAGCGCCCTTCCCGTGCGACCAAACCCTGCGGCATGGGAGGCAGATATAGCTTGAATCAGCTTCATGATAGGCCCGTGTAAGCATGCTCTCACCATCGATCGAAGTGTAGTCCTACCCAGCAGTGTGCAACGGCGGTGATTGTTATGTCAAGAACGCCGCACGGCCCACTTCACGGACGAGATTATGTTCCAGGAGTGAGGCAGCGTGGCCGCATTAACCCCATTGCGCGTACGGGGTACGACAGAATATCATGCCTCTTGTTCGCGCCCAAGGTCGTGCAAGTCCTGTCTCCAAAAGCCTGTAACATACAGCTAAATCGCTTGCGTAAGCGTAGAGACACGTTACGTCCGAACGTATGGGCACGATCTAAGTTTGATCAACGACGCACATGTCATCGGTTCCGCCAATTCGAGGTATACCGTTTGCTGTCGTTTAAGCCTGAAACAGACACCCTGACTGGACGATCAACGATCAAAGCTACACGGACGGACAGCTGCGATATGCATGTGACCGGTGGAATGGGCGCCTATGCTGCACAACTATGAGAATCCTGGAAGCAGAAACGGCAGGCACCACATGCCCACATACTGAAGCGGTGGTGGGGAAGCATGCAAATCAAGTCTACCACGCGCCCTGACGGCACCGATAACCTTCGAAGGAACCGCCGCAGGCGCCACGATCCCTGCATATAGCCTTCCGCACACACCTGCGTAGAAGTCGTGGTCATGACCAGCTCACCGAGGCAGAAGACTGCTAGGGACGCACATTTTCGTTACCCGAGCCCCATCGGGGCTGTGAAGTTCTCAGAGACAGAGACAACGACAGGTTCCTACGCGGTCTGGGCTGAACCGTGAGTGTCGGGAAACCAAGGGGTAAGCTGATCCGATTCGTCGACGTTGTGGCCCCGCGGCCTGGAACGGACAAGCAGATAAGCTACGGTGCCCATGGATCCCAAAATGCCATAATAATTCTCGCGGGAGCGGAGCAGTAGTTAATTATACTCATCCAATAGAACGCGTTCCTGCTCGATGCCTGCAGGTTTCTACGGCACCGAGAACAATTCCCATCAGGCTCCTCGTACGCCTTGGTGAGACACACTGTACGCACCACTGAGATGCACTCTGCGCGCCCCGATGAGTCATTTGGGTGGGTGATAGAATACGCTGTCAGCGAGATATGCACCTGCGATGACAAACCGTAAGCATGGGATACGCCGGGATATTCTTTGGCGCGCACTTTAGCAAGACCTCTTCGATCTGGTGTTGGGAACGGTCAGGTTAGGCGACACGTTGTACGCGTACCTGGTCTCGTTCTCAGGGGATTTGTAAAGTCGAAATGAGGACACGTACACATGCCAAAGCTGAGTTAACAACAACCGTGGATCCGCATAATAAATGAGGATCCAAGAACTCGCCAAACAGGAAAATGCACTACTCGAATGCTGTTTGCATTGCAGTGTGCAAGGCTGTATTTCTGGATAAGACGGAGCGCGCCTGTTCTCAACTGAGACCGACTTCGAACAGGCAGCGGACGTACCATTTCCAAGTGAGTCAACAGCATGTCACCCATGCCTCTGGTTCGAGATGGCATCATGAACCAGCTGATCCGCTCGCCGGTATACCAACCGAAAGCGGTGTCTGTTACGCACTTGATGCACTTCAGTCTGCTGTCAACGAGGGGCACGGGTGTCCAAATTGAGTCGACAGTGCGCCACATTTTCGCTCACACACGCACATGGACGCGGATGCAAGGCGCACAAACAGGGAGATCAGTCTTCCAATATCATAATCATCTGGGAATGGACGGAAATAAAAATAGAGGCTATCCACCACTCCTGTCATCGGTTCCAACAAGCAAGAGCTTGGCAAAGGGTACAACCATGCGCCCTATGGCCAGGGTAACCCGCATGAGAGTCCTAATGGTTGGCGCAAGCATCTAACGGCGGCCCTACACGCCGAGACGGGCCGAGAGGGCGACCTGAGAGAACATACAAGTAGTCGCAGACGTCGATACCTCCTTCGGACCTCCATAGGCTCCGGATACTCGTATCTGACCAGACAAGATGCGCATGAATGTGGCGGATAGGGCCCTGAGGAGACTTTGCACCGAGCTCGCCGTACATGTTGCGTGCCATGGGAGTAGATGGACGATAGGGCGAACGGAGTATGCGTGTCCGTATTGTCGTTCACACGGCACACGAGCGCGAATATGCATCCTCGACTTCAACCACACGTGTTAATGTAATCAATCGTCACCAAGTGAACAATCCAAACTCACCTTATCTCTTGCTACACGTCCGAGAGACGCCTTAGACAGCGCAAGTCGCACAACTGCATCGCCGCCATGGGGAAACATACCGACTTGAGTAGCCCGCGGGTCATCGTCCATGAACTTCTTCTGTAGGTCAGCGCTGGAAGTTGCCTCGGAGTCACTGGGATGGTGCATGGATTACGAGCCGGGGGTACTGCAAGTGCGGTGAGAGACACTTCGGATCAGGGAAGCAGTAGGGGCATTAGCCGACTCTATGGCAGCTACATTCTCGCCAATGGAGACGCCACGACCACCCAGGCCCAAATGGTGATTCTTGCCTATCGCAAGAGGAAACAGCGCTTTCCATTGTAATCAAATAGTAGAATGTTAGACATCGTGGGTTCCGTATAAGATAGAAGAGGCAAGCAACGGAATATTGATGAATTGTGACACGAACTTCTCAGGATGCATTGATACAATGGCCTGATACAGGTCTGTTTCGACTTCTCTGGCTCGGTAGCTTGAGGAACGAATTTGTCCTGCCAGAAACTATGATCTGAGGATTCACATCGGATAAATTAGCGGAGGTCGGTGTCTTCACCACGGTCATGGCGACATACCGATCACTGCAACAAGAACATCAATCATGGTAACGCCCTCATGCATAAGCGCAGTCACATGATGAAAGTTGACATGGACCAACTATCCCTCGATCATGGGAGTGGCGGCCAAGTCGGAGGAAGGAGCAGCTCCGCTACCCCCTGGTGTACCGCCCGGGGTGTGGTCGCCACCATTGCCAAGGACCTCCTCAAGTTCTTCCTCTTCCTCACTGTCATTGCTCTGCGCGCCGTCCGGGGTTTCCGCGCTGTCAACATCGCCTGCACCACCAGGAGTGCGCATTGTGCCATCATCCCCGCCAAGAGACTGCGAGAAGGGAGCAATATCCCACTCGAGGTCCTCGGGCTCTTCTTGATCGACGGCGACGCGGGCCTTCCAGTCGTACTTCTCGCGAAGCATAGCGACAGCACGTACCGCACGATCGACCCTCTCGTCGTGTTCGACGCGGATCTGCTCGCATTCACTTAGGACATCCTCGTATTCTGTCCGCTTGCCCTGGGCTGGCCCGTTGGGTCGTCCCGTCTGCGTGAGAACCCCTAGCGTTCCCTTTGTCTCCATATGTTCGGAGAGATGACGAACAATATCGTTCTCAATTTTCAGGACATTTGTCGTCTGCTGGTTTCGTAAGAGTGGGATGAGCTCGTTGTCAAGCTGCGAGTCTGTCAGGGGAACACTGGGATGCAGTGAGAGCCTCTCGTACGGATTTCCTTTTGAGCTGGAAGATCCAGTCGCGCTCGCGAATGTAGGTCCTAGCAAAGAGGTGGCGAGATTGTGGGATTGAGAGAGTAGAATATTGTATTTTGACAGAACGTCTGGCCATGCCGGCATGGCGTTCTGACCACCATATTCAATCGTCCGCTGTAGAAGTTGAATGGATTCTACCATTTGATTGGCTTTGAACTTCAACGATTCGAGTTGCGCAATTGGCAGCGATGATGGGTCGAAGGTAAGACGTGGTGGATTGGCAGGATCTGACATGGCGAGGCGGATAGCAGCTATACGAAAGGGTATTTAAAGAGAGGAGATATTGAAGCATCAATTATTGAACGCATACAACAATGATACGCACCCGATAACGGGGATTTGACCTGAACCCAGTGATGGCTGAGGCGGTAGCGTTGAGAAGGTGTCTAAGAAAGGAAATGCTGTAGAGGCTGTTGCCAAACAAATGCAAACGTTGAATTGGGGCCAAATTGATAGCACGCTTGTACTTGCATCAGTCTCCTCTTGCGCTCTGCTCTCCGTCGGTTATTCTAGTCATCATAGGATATGCTTCGTCTACTGGGTCAACACGTCGCGCTGCGCGTCAACGTGACAAAAGGTCCCTTATTCACAGGGGCTGTCGTTTCCCAGCTCGTTACGCGACCGTCCACGTATGCGCGTACATTTTTATCCGTCACTCGTCCGCTGCTCGTTGAGAAGGACACGGCGACCAAGAGGAAAGCCCCTGCAGCCAAAAGCGACACAGCGACTGGTGATAAAAAGACACCGGCTAAGAGTGCGTCGAAGACCACAGCTGCTACTAAGGAGCCAGCGAAGAAGCCGGTGAAGAAGCCAGTGAAGGCTGCTGTCAAGTCGAAAGCCTACGTACCACTGACCCGTGCGCCTTTTTCATGGTGATATGACTGTGCCATTGACCTGTATGCAGGCATGAAGATTAGTCGCGAGGATCGTCCTCCTACGGGCAGACGATCACCATTTGTCTTCTTCATCCAAGAATTCTTGAAGACACGTGTATCCAAATCGCTCAAAGACTCGGCTGAGTATATGTCCCAGGCAGGACAGGAATGGCGCGCTCTCAGCGAGTCAGAGAAGCAGGTCAGTGATACCAACAAGACGCCGTCAGTGGTGACTGAGTCCCGTTACAGAAGTACCAGGATGCTAGTGCTGAGGACACAAAGAGATATTTGCGAGACATGATCGAATACGTCGAACGGGTTGATCCCCAAGTCTTGAAGGCCATCAACGTTCAACGCAAAGCAAAAGGCCAACAGCGCTGGAAGGTTCCTCCCGAGGCCAAGCCCAAGAGAGAAAAGAGGCCCCTCTCGTCATTCATGCGGTCCGTCGCATTCCCTTCGAGCTTAACACTTTTGTAAGATCTTGCACAGATTTTTGAGGGACCCCCCGCCTGAGGTTGTCGCAAAATTGGAGGGCTTGGGGGACATGACATGGCTTAAGAGAAATTCCATTCTTGGAGAAGAGTGGAGGCAGCTGTCGGCTGAAACGAAGGCGGTACGTTGATAGCAGCTTTAAATTTTATGCAACTTACTCATAATCGCACACAGTCGTACACGGAAGCAGCCAAGAAGGAGCGGGAGGAATGGCGCGCTCAGCATGGATCGGCCACTACATCAGCATAAAATGTGGTTGGAAACCTCACTATGGCCTTCGACTATGATGTGTAGACCACCGCTCTCTTCGCTTGCTCCACTTATGACTTCTGTCCTAGACTTCTGTCTTGAGATTCTGGCCAGCTCATCTGGACAGATGATTTACGTTTACTGTAGCTTGACATATGTTCTATAATAATTTGTCAAGGTGCCCACCAGTGGTTAACGCACAGCACCACTTTGGTGACCGAATGGGCAGTCGGCTCTGTTGCATCGGTATGATTCCGCGTCACCACACAAAAGGTTATGCATATAGGAGCACCCGGTGTTCGCTGGACATAAATCAAGATGTATCCATGAATTGGAGGTATGAGGAACGGGGTTGCAACAAACGAGCGACGACGGGGTTAATGGAAAAAGGGTATAAGGTATCGTAATGGGACAACGCAGCAACGTCAACAGAAAATAGAATAGAGATAGCTAATAGTCATTCACGAGTCCTGCAGATGTGTAATTCAGTCGTAAAAGCTCACAGGCGCCGACCGGGCACCGCCCAAAAAATCATCGTCAAAGCCACCGTACATCCTGTGACCAGTGCAGTGACCCACAGTGCACGGCCAAGCAGGAGTTTCTTGACATATGGCTCCCGGATGTGTAAGGTGCGGAATGGCGTTGACTCGGACTGGCCCAGGAATACGAGTATGGGATCGAGCTCATATTGGTGGGAAATGAGGAAGAGAATGGCGATCGCGTATGGGATGAATAGCTATCACGCCAGTCAGCATTTTCCAGCAAATGAATGAGACAGAAGCACGTACGAAGAAGCGCTTGGACTTCGGGTGTACGTCGAGGAAAATGAGAGAGAAGCCTACTGCCAGCCCAATCCACAGCACAATCAGTCCTATAACGAGCCGCACAAGCGCCGACATTGGCGTCAGGTTGCCGAACGCCTTCGCGCGGAGGAAGCGCGGAAACGCGTCCTGCTCCATCGCGCGGAAACAGTACTCCTTCTGCGCATGGTACATGTCCGGGATCTGGGCCATCAGGCTCATCTCGCTCTGCGTCTTGGGCTCGTGCGTGCTGCTGAGCGGGAACGAGTGCATCCGCAGCGCAGGAGGCAAATATATCTCATGGTTCTCGTTCGACCCCACTGTACCCGCCGGCGACAGGTAACGCAGGTAGATGCGCTCCGCGGAGGCGATGAGGTCCTGGCGTGTGATCGCGGCGGAGCGTGGGATGATCGTGGGCGCACGCGAGGCGCGCTTGAACAGCGTCGGCGTCCGACCAGACAAAGAGAATGGAGTCGACGAGCGAGGGGGATCCGACGCGACGGCAGTCGCTGGCGTCGTGGACATCATGCGCGGGCTAGGGCTGCGCGCCGCCTTCTCCTCGTCGCCCGCAGCGAGGTTGTGCCTGTCGTGATCAGACAGTATATCGCCCGTGCTTGCAGTGCTCCGCTTCGTGCCAGTGTGCGGATTCAGGCCGACTACCGTGCCATAGATCGACCCGCGCCGTCGTGCATAGTCCCAGTACTCCGGCCAGTCATCCCGAATGGTGCGCCCCGACTTGCGGACGTCCTTGAAGTATGCGCGACAGAGATTCTCGTGCTGCTGCACGTCTAGCCAGAAGTCGAGGATGTCTTCCGAACCCTCGCGCTGCAAAAATAAACTAAACATCCGCGAAGTTAGCACGGTTTACTGCCTTGTGAACAGCACTCACTAAAACATGAACAAGTCTACGGGGGGTCGCGTCCGTCTCGAGAGGACCTCGGTGAAAGAGGGCAGGCGATTTCTGCGGTTGTCGACGCTATCATCCTGGCGCCGTCGGTCGTCGTCCATGGCTGTCTTCGACAACGTTGTCGATACAGCGTGGTTGTCGCCGTCTGCAACCAAACCGCCCAAACAGTTGTTTCTGAGAAAGGAAAGACGCAATGGTTATTTAACTGTATATATGTAACTCTGCATTTGAATGCTATGATGTTTTATCTTTGTATGCTACATTTTCGCCTTTCCCCAAAGTACTTAGAATGCTTGGCAGCGCTCATCACCGAACCTCTCACTCTGAGCTCTCGAGAAGTACGCCATGTCGTTCGCCAGGGCTCTGTACCCCGCAATTAGGGAGATTCGCATTTTTTGTTGCCAGACGAACTCAGCTTCAGGGGGTACACGGTGAGTGTGACATTGGGAACGGGACTACAGGTGCTGGACAGTATTCGTCGAATGACAGGGAATTCCTCAAGTCCACACACGCCATAATGAAGCAGCATAATCCGCACCTCCCTATCATGGTTCGGCAGGCGGGGGGGACGCCTGCGAGAGCGTTCGTGCGATATGGTACGTCACATCTTGATGTACCTGTATGTGTCCTCATATTACAACCTGCACCAGAGAAAGGTGATGAGAAGCATGTAGAATTGGATAACCTCAACCAGGCGGATGTTTCATCGAAAATAGCGCAGCTGCTGAAGAAGCCGTCCTAAGGCTTCGGATGGATCACGTCGTTGTCATATCGCTGTATGACCTCGCTAGACTCTGCAATTAGCTATTGGACAACAATAGACACCATACCGCATTGGTGGTAGGTCGCGACAGCATGTCTACGGTTCCTGGGTGCGTTTAGTCTTATCTGAGATTATCATGGTCAACCCTCCGCTCCCCACTGGCTGTTGTGCTTGATGGTCGGTGAATGTAGCGCAATCTGAGGGATCATTTGCGATGACACGGACCCCTTGCTAACACAGCTCCCGACTGTTCTCGAACTGTACGGCCTCAGCGCCAATGAGGTCGAGACAATACCGAAATACAGCGCGGCCAATGCTGTCTTTCAAGCTTCCTGCGTGTTGGAGCGCACCAACGAGCCATACAGGCACCATCAGCAATACCAAGGCCTGTCGACAGCTTCAAGTGGCGTGGACTCGCCCGTGCACGCTCTTGGCTACCACATGCAAATTGGCGATGTGTTTCTCACTGTCGCCGCTGAAGGCTAACGTCAGGCACATCTCCACCATGTCCATATTGTGCAGACATCGCCGACAGCCGTGTCATTTTTGCGGAAATGGTCTCCCGTGGAAACTTCATCAAGTCCATGGCCTTGGTACATCGTATTTGCAAAGCGACGAGGCTTACCGCCGCTTAGGCAATCCCATAGCATCGGCGGTCTAAGGGGCTACGCGTGCAATCGGGGAGCTCTCTGAGCTAGTGAGTCAAGGAATCGTGAACGATACACACAACATCCCCTATGCCCAAGGGTTCTCATCGTCCAGGAGGTCTGGACTATACAGTACAGTTCGTGCGTGTACAGGCGGCGTCTCTGCCTGAACAATTGTCCGTTCCTCTACGGCTTGCGTTTCGGCATCCAGGACATCGTCAACTTCATCTGCTCCGTCTCCCACGTCGAATATAGCGGACTCCTCTTGACGTCCAGCCAAACTTGCGCCTCCAGTGACCTCAACTTCGCCTTCCTCTCGCTTGTTGTCGTTGTCAATAACATATCCTCGTCGATACACCTTGTGCAGTGCACTACCCCCACGTACTGCCGGCTCGCCTTTCCGCCGCTCATGGGTCATGGATTCCTCTGCGGCGTGTGGGTCCTCGACGATCAAATCCACGGCGTCAGGCGGGAGCACAGGACGCTCAGTCTCTTTCTGCGGGGATGGCGGCGGGTGTCGATTCCTCGGACTGTTCGTCGAGGAAGATGTTCTTCTAGACACGGGCTGAATGTTCGCAGACAGTGCACGGGTGCGAGGAGACGGCACGGGAGTGTGCTCGCGACTTGTCCATCGCAGCTTCACATCTCCCGCCTTCGCCTCCGGCAGTCGGTCATGCTCCTTGTCAATGACCACCTCGCGTCTTGTGATCTCGTTGCTTGCCCGCGTTTTGCCCTTCCGCGCCGCGCTGTCTGACGAATCCGAGTCATTCCGTTCCCGCAGGGCGCTTCTCTGGAAGCCGTCCGTGGCGCCATACGTCTGGCGTGGCTGTCCCAGTACTCGCCCGGGACGCGGAATGGGTGAGAAAAATGCCCCGCGCTCGTCGCTCAGAATCCGCTCTTCTTCATCCCACATCGCCCGCTTCGCCGCTTCGGTGCTGACATCGACGGACGGATAATGGTAGTCGCCGAAGAGATACTTCTTACTGTGCTTAAATAATTCTTCGTCCATTTCGTCGATATCGCCGAACGGCAAACCGAAGCCCTCTTCCTCCAAAGAGACGGTGTCGAAGATCGTGCGACCTTCTGTTTGCGGCGTCCGTAGGTCCGCCGCCGTGTGTACGACACCTTCAGCTTGGCCTGACAAGAGCGGCGCGTAAACTTCTTCCGTCTGGTCCTGCCCCGCGATGCGGTCGACTGCCCTATTGAGGCGGCCCTCGATATTGCCTGATGGCTTCGCAGGCTGCGGCAACCAGTATTTGCGCCTGCCGCCTTGGCTGTACCGTAGGCCCGCGCGTATGCGCCTGTCGCGGCCCGCACCTTGGTGGATGAAGCCCTCGCTCGGCTCGAACTCACGGTAATCCATACCCTCACCGCGCAGCGTTGCCTTGAGGTCCTCGACGACGTCCTTGAGCCCAAATGCGTCGCGGAACGCATACAGCATTGGCATGCGCGCAACGAACGCGATGTGTGGGTCGACAAAATCGCGCGTCGAGAATGCGTACAGGTGTGCGACCGCGAAGAGCGGCATTTCGAGGCAGATGAGCGTGTCCGTGAGCCCGAGCGCGATATGTTCGCTGTCCGTGTATGGTCCAAGCTTCGTGATCGCGCCGGCGGCAACCAGGATGGAGATGCCGATCGACTGCCAGAAGGAGAAGAAGAGGATGCCTTTCACACAGAGGAACTTCGGCATGGGCCTGATGGCTAGTCAGAATGCTTCATCCACTCGCAATGGGGGTACCGCACGACAGACCTGAATGGTTTGAGATCCGCACTCACACACAACCAGAAGATGGCCAGGCAATACAAGCTGAGGCAAATGCTCACGTTGTAGACGACGCTCACGTAGAGATACCCGGAATTTGCGCGGAGATCGCCTTCGTTGAATTTTCCCAACAGTTTGAGCACAATGGTCACAAGCGCAAGTATTGGCTTCACTTGGACATATTCTACAGGAAACACCTAAGCAATCGTTGCTGCTATATAACAGAATATAGCTCACGAATCACGCCGCGCTTCAGAAATAAGAATGTGTGCGGGTCGCTTACATCAACCTCTCTCCAAAAGATGCTAGCAGGAAATGCGGGATATTTCGGTGAGCGACCGTGGAGAAGTATGAGGAGAGAGCGCTCTCCTCCCAGGTAGGCGATGAGAAGGTCGAAAAAGCAATAAATTACAAATGCCTGCCATTAGTGCGTCAGCGATATCCTATTGCTTCAGCGAGGCCTTGATGATCAAGAAAGAGACAGACACGTCGCTTTTGTGGTATTTAGCAAACCACGCACCTCATAGATGTCCCGTACTACATCAATAAAGAATGCTGCCTGGAGGGAGAACAAGGAGATGAATGATGAAATTGCGTATAATGGAACCATGAGCATGATTCGGACCACCATCCTGAAAGAAACAGCGGCCAATCTCGCTATCAGCTTCTCAAACGGAGTGGACTACACAGGACGAACCGTTGGAGAACAGGCTTCCGATAATTCTTGAGATGGAGGAAAATGGACGTTGCAGATATGAATGTTGCTGCTACAGTGGACAAGCCAGCCAATAGCAATACAGGAAACGGTAGAGAGGAACCGGAACCAGAGCCAAGGTCAGGTAGCTTTCCAAACACTTTCATTGAGTTCATGATGACGAGGGAGTATTGGGTAGGTGTCACTAAGATTCATAGAATCGGATAGCGTGCTCTTTCACCCCGGGTCCAGTTGTGCGACCGCGCGTTACGTATGCTACAGGTTCGCCTGCTTCAGATAGAGTATATGGGGAAATCTCAAGTGTTAAGGCGGCATGGACTTTGCGAGGAGAACGAGAGTCAGAGCGAGGTCGAGACGGCGCGAAGTCGACGCGCAGCGAATGCTAACGAGCCACAGCGTGACCGTGGGAACTCTGTTAGGATCAATCACATGTGCGCGTCTGCAAGCTGAAGAATGTGGCACCGAGGCATACATATAGTGAGATTCTCGCGCTTTGGGTTCCTTGGGGTTGCATACACCATCACCACTCTCTGCACTCTCTTTCCACACATATCACCACACTGCCTCCGTTCAAGAGAAGAAATAACTCAACGCAAACCTCAGTTGAACCGACTCGAAACTTCTTACTGGTTGCTTTCAAGCACGATGTCTGACCCTCGAAAAGCACGCGTAGACGACGAGGACCTCGATGATCTCGATGGTACGCACGCGCATGTATTCTCACTCGTGCTGCTACAAAGGTCACTTTGTAGACGTTCTTGACCAATTCTCTGCGCCGCCCGCGAAATCTCAGGCGCCACCGATATCCGCGCCACAGACTTCATCTGCTGAAAATCCCGCACCGACAGCAAGTGCATCGCTGCCAAGTTCCAAGAGCGACCCACTCGGGCTTGGTGGCCTCGCCTTGACCGACGATTTTGCGAGCGAACTTACGCGTGGCATGGAGTCGCTCATGCGCGAAATTATGGGCGAAGCAGGGCTAGACCCCAAAGCCGGAGCATCAAGTTCGACTGGAGACGGAGAACCGTCTGAAGAAGAAATAAAGCGCGAAGAGGCGTTTCGTGCAGCATGGGAGAAGATGCTGGTTGAGGGTATGAACGGCGCACTGGATGTCGAGGAGTTGTCTGGAGGTACGTCCGGCAAGGAGAAGGAACGGGGAACTGAGTCAACAAGCGGCGCTGCCACAAGCAGTGTGGATCCCCAAGATAACTTCCAGACAACTATTAAGAAGGCATTGGACAAGCTCAAAGAGAGCGACGCGAACTTGCAGGTGAGGCTCTGGAGTGCTCAGATCAGGATACTGCGCTAAGCAATCACCAATAGGCCGACTCTCCCGAGTCGTTCGAGGCCATGATGGCCAAATTGGCAGAAGGATCTCATGGCGGAGAGTCAGACGAAGAGGCCGCGAAGCTCATCGAGGGCATAATGTCGCAGCTCATGACCAAAGAGATACTCTACGAGCCACTCAAGGAATTGCACGCTAAGGTACTTACGTGCCATTTCAATTCATCCCAATTGCCCGCTGATATCGCACACAGTTCCCTGGGTACCTGAAGGACCATGCCGCCACAATATCTGCCGATGACAAGAAGAGTTATGACGCGCAATACGCCGTACTCGAGAAGATTATCGCCACTTTTGATGACCCTGCGTATTCAGATTCGAGCACGAATAACGATGAGATTGTCACACTCATGACGGAGGCATGTCTTCTCCACGTCTGTACCACTCACAAATACTGAGAATGTCCTATTACAGATGCAAAGCCACGGGTCACCGCCAGCAGCCCTCATGGGTCCATTGCCGCCCGGGCTTGACTTTGGCCCAGATGGTATACCCCAGCTCCCGGAAGGTTGTGTTATTGGCTGAACCATTGTCCACTTCTTGCATGACTGCGTTCTCTCGGCTCATTGGAGGGATAGGGCACCGATGTATGTATATGTATTCCATCCGCTCTGTATTGGTATGACCCGTGTATCGGTACCGTGAGATGGAGACAAGTGAATCTAACGAGACTCGCCCGCTCAGCTTTTTGGCGCGTAAAGAGCTGCAGGGTTGACAGTTTGGAGTTTCTCTTGACACCTAAAAGCTGACAGAGCAAGAGCCATGCTTGCTTAGTGCAACGAATCTTGCGCACAGCCATGCCCTGATCCACGAATGACCAAGACGGTGTGGCTGCCCCTCAAGAATGAGGTGCCACGCAAAATGGACGGTTTGAAAGTATGATCATGCGCGTCTTCGGGGAGCAGCACATGGCCTGGGACTGACTCGCTGATGTTCGTGACAGTAGCCGGTCGGTGAGATATGTGGTGTCTTCTCATTTGCGACAAGAACTATACATCAGGAAGCCCCTCTATATAAGTAGAATAAGTATTCTACTACTTGTGGTAGGTCAGTAGGTTAGCATAAGTAGTAAAACGAGGGTTTTCATGATGCTAATTGCTTGATTGTCGTTTCTCTTGCTAGTGTTCAAGCAGGGACGGGCACCGAAGATGATAGAGTGAACGATGTTTGACACGGCTTGTAGCCAGCAAAGTAGTACGTAAGGAACCAAGTATAAAACGAACGTGTGAGTACCATACGCGATGATGTGATCTCCCACCGTAAGTATCGACTGTATTTCCAACGCGTTGTGTGACCTTGAGTTAACGAATGATCGATACACGCCAATTGTTCATTGAAAATTCCTACCAGATTTCGAGGCCGTAAGTGAGGATCTGCCCGATACTTGAGATTCGCGACTTAGAGCCGTGGCGAAGCACTTGTCGCACGTGACCGTGTTGAGATGCGCGTTGTGGCATCTTGATTCTTGTGCGTCCATCAGTTGCCCAGTAAGTGACCCACGCCGTTAACCGATATTCATCTGGAAGTTTATCGCGGCATTGTTGTATAATCCTGTGACACTACTGAGCATCAAGAGACTCCGCGACGTGATTTATCCATCAGAGAGGCACGCATCATCCTCTAGCCTTTGTGCCCAGAAAGGTAAGCTGGGACATTGTGACTCTCTTTTCAGAACTGCTGACGCAAGCACACTTCGCCACAACTCCAGGTTAAATCTCCGAAACATACGAGAGGTTACAGCCCATTAGTATATAATGTCCACCGATGCCTGTGGTACAGATTGTTTCTCTTCTGCGGTACGCTCGTGGCTCAATCCAACATGCCGAACGAGAATCTTACCTCAGATACTCCGCCTCGCGCCCACCAGACTATGAGCGCTCCATACAACTGGGGAAAACTCGATGAAGCCCGGCAAGCCCTCATCGACGAATTCAACAACGTCGTCCCCGAGTTGCCCTTGTCATTCTTCTTCGATAATATCTTCCCTCAGGTTCCCTCAAGTATTGACATCGATGATGTCGTCCAGACCCTTCAAGACAATGATACAATTCGGAACGGCCGATGGAGTGCATTTCAGAAAGATCCTAATCGCAACGGCGATGAAGAAGACATGGTATTCGCGCCTCTTGAAAGCTTGGCTGCGGCGGTAGCAGAAGCCGTCAAGGTATCGGGAATACAGCACCGGTTCACGTACCTCTGTAGACCGCGTCGAAAACCGGCATCAACCACAAAGCTGACACACACGCGCCCTGACGGCTACTTCGTGTTGGATCATAAGGGCACATTACGCTGGTCAGATATTGCTCTTTGTGCGGAATTCAAGAAGGCAGACACCACTGGAGATAGGGATGATGTCAATGATTTCTTCACTATGTGAAAATATAGCGTGCTGAATCAAACTTAGGATGTGTCTAAGGTGGTATGGGGAATGCATCAGTGCATGCGTAACGATCCATGCCGTAGATTTACGTTTGGTCTCACTATTGAGAATAGCAAGACGAGATTCTGGTACTGCAGTCGGTCGGAGATGTACGTCAGTGAGCCGTTCAATTTCATCGAGGTGAGTGGTTGCACTCCTACACGGGGGGCATGACCTTGACTGCATTTTGTAGGATCATAGTATGATGGTGCGCTTTATCCTTGCGTTCGCCTACGCAAAGCCACAGGATGCCGGGTGGGATCCAACGGTGAAACGCGTTCCAGGGACCAAAGGCCCTCCTCGCTATGACATTATTGTGCGCGACAAGGATGGGAAAGAGACCGTATATCGGACAACGAGAATGATTTCCGACGTCGGAGCCAACCCAATTCGGAGTCGAGGCACCCGTGTTTGGGAAGCGAGAGAACTAAGGAACGACGAAGAATATGGGCCCGCCGTCGTACTCAGGGATTCGTGGATAGATGCCGATCGCCAGAACGAGGGCGATATCCTGGAAACCTTTCGCAGCGCGAAAACTGAGCCGGATGATGAAGAACTGATTGATCAAGGCCTCCTGTCTGTCGTGTGCCATGGGGACGTCTTTGTTGACACCCAGCGAGATCACACTCGGATAGTGATGACTAGGGGCGCGGACATTACATCGGATAGCCCTCTTTTCGTCTTGCAGTACACCCCTCCGCCCGAGGTGGATCCCCGGAACACTTTGTCGCATACCGGCGTGGGGAAACTAATCACCCCTCCCGACCGCTATCCACCAAATGAAGTGGTCACTTACCATCCGAAGATTCATTATCGTATCGTGTTCAAGGAGGTCTGCCGATCACTGTATACGGTGACGGAATTGGGTACACTATTCAAAGTCCTCATGCAGATCACATGTGGTGAGTAAACCTCCAATTTATCGAAGTGCAGCTTCTCAGAATGTCCTTGTGCAGTATTGAATGCGATACACAAACTCGGCTGGATCCACCGCGACATAAGCCCCGGGAATATCTTGATCTACGAGGTGGATGGTGAGGTTTATGCGAAACTTACCGACCTGGAATACGCGAAGTGTATGAACCTTGGGAGCCCCGCTCATGAGGTCAAAACAGTGAGTGGTGTAACACGTCAATAAGACATCAGCCACTTATTTCATGTTGCCATTATAGGGTACTCCACATTTCATGGCCATTGAGGTGGATCATATGCGGTACTTGTTCAACCCCCTAATTTCTGAGAGCGATAAAGATGATTCCGAGGAAGAATCTTCCATTCCTCCACTCGCACTCTTCAAACAAGGCCGCAAAAAAAATCCGCCGGATGCTGAGGTCAATCTCAACACGACTAAATCAATGGCACCAGTCAACAGCATATTTCTATACAACCCCCTTCATGATCTCGAGTCCGTTTGGTGGACAGCAGTCTACTTCCTGTTTAACAGGGACGTCGTTCGCGTTGCCGGGGAGGTTGCCACGCCTGATAAGGAGAAGGAGAAGGGTCGGCGCAATTACGCGTACGCCATATTCCACAAGCACAAGGAACGAGATGACGTCTTGAAAATGCCCAACGTATATGCTGAGGCAGTCAAGAGTCTTCATGTTTCCTTGTCGGACATCGTGGATCAGCTCGAAATTGCGAGGAAGAGTCTTGTTGCGCGGTACCAAGATGTCGAGAAGGAAATCCCTATGATCGTATCGAAAGAAGCTGCGAGGAATCTTCATCGAAAATTTCAAAAAATTCTTAATGTTATTGGAGACCTTGCCTTTCAAGCAGATATTGTGATCCGCCAGTCGGCGCAAGACGTGGCAGAGGCTAAACAGATCTATGGACACAACAGCACGCATACTCAAGATGACACAATTTTGATTCTGTCTGCGCAGGCCGAAGATGACGATACCTTGCAAGACAAAGATCTGCTCCTCCCGATTCAGGAAGAAGACGCTTGCCTCGAAGCTGTTCCGGAAGCACCCAGCCCCACGCCGGTCGCCGCAAAACCCGCGATGAGGCTAATATCACGGCGAACGGCGAGATCACCGTCTGCCATTAATTCGAGGTCAACCAGCGTTATGTTGTCATCTAGAGCCACTAGGTCGACTCAACCTGGGACGTCTACAAGCCGGGTTCTCACAACTAAAGCCGCAGATGCGAGGTCAGCTCGGAAGACACCTGCTGCGAAGTCGACTACAGAGACGCCTGAGAACGCAAGATTGTCGACTGTGAACACATCGAGGCCGACACGACCATCTGTCACAGTGCAAAGATCAGCTGAGGCCGCACCTGCCGCAGGTGCTCGGGCAACATCTGTGCCGGCGCCCAGACTAGCCCCGAGACCTACGAGACCGCCTCGTACAACTTCGCCACAACCCAAGAGATCGGCGGGGACAGCTTCACTGCCATCTTACGCCCTGCGTTCCACCGTCGTAGCGCCGTCGTCCGCGAATATGGCTACGAGAACACCACCTGCCATAACTACGCGAGAAACCAGGACAACCTCTGTACCCACAATGCAAAAGACCAAACCGACTATGATCACGACATCAACGCCCACGGGAGGGACAGTAGTGACTAGGTCGACGCGAACGAAGCCCGCACAGCCAGCCTCTATACCCACCACGACTACAACTCGATCGACACGCTCAAAACCCATCAGGGACGCTGTCTCTACCCAGACGTCCGCGGTGACTAAGACAAGATCATCCACAAAGGATACAGTGGGCAGCCAGTCCGATATAGCGCCTCCAGGTCGTGGTGGGACTAGCATGAGGACACGGTCTCAGAGTTTGCGGACGCACGTATGATACAACGCGAAGTCGCCGCATTCTCTGCAAAGACTCACCGCGCTTAAAGTCGTGTCGACATCGGCGAGATCATTTTGCAAGAGGAGATCCTGCTTAGGTGTCGGTGTACTAGGGTGACGTTTCGACTAAGGTGAAATAGCCACACTATTTTGATCCGGCAGAGGGCGCGTCCATTTGCGAAAGTAAATTCATCACGCGATGTATAATGGGGAGTTGGTTGGTCTCTGACACAGACACTTGTATGCCCATTGACCTAGGAGAGACAGACTTAGCTGAATTTCTTTTTCGGTCCTAAACACCTGGTAGGTGCTTCTACGGATACTTTCATCACACTGTGTATTGGCATGTCAATCCCATTCTTGGGGTCACAAACCCACTTCTCACCAGTGACACTGCAACATGACTCTAATATGATAATATGGCTACGTGATGCTCGCGGCTTATATCTGACGCAAGTGGCTCAGTTAGCCACGGCCCCTCAGGTCTGCCGTGTCCTGCTTGGCCGAGCGGCTAAGATGTAGGCGTCGATGGGTTCCCTAGGCAGTACACGTGATCGCGATGTTGACCTTATAATTTATTAGCAATGTCCGCCACATCTCCACCTCTACTGACTCGGAAATCAAATCTCACAGCTCTTCCTCCAGCAAGTACTGGAAGACACCCTGCCAAAGGTGGCAACGCTGGCTGTGACGTCGATTTATATTGTAGCCAAGATTCCAAACCTTCTAACAGGCACGAACCGCCGAGCGGACTCAGGCTCCCGAATTTGAATTGAGCCACTCATCGAAAACTGCGTTAGCCACACTGACACCCATATATAAAGCTTGCCTCTCTTCGCATACTACATCCTGCCCCCCCCCCCCCCCACTCACTCACCATTACTACAGTGCTATCGCGCGCGTGACGAGTGACATCATGGCCAACTACATTTCAAATCCGACCAATATCGGCGAGCTAGTATACCACGCCCGTGACGGCATCATTAGGGTCTTTGGGAAACATGTAACGGAGCTCCCAGTCAATTTATTCATGAAAGGCCTTCTCCCTTCATTACATCCAAGCATCATCATCGAGGACGTCATCAAGAAGCTTAAACGCGGACGTCATCCCGAGATTGTCAGAGGCCGGTGGAGAAGATTCAAAGGTGAACCGAGCAAGTCTGGCAAAGCGGAGAACGATACTTTCCAACCGCTTGTCTACATCGCGCAGGCTGCAGCCAGAGCAGCTGAGGTTGAGGACCTCCCACAGTTCGATTTTGTCCAAAATTCAGATTGGGCGTGTGAAGACAGTCGTAGGCGATCAAAAACCCGACCGGACGCGTACTTTGTGCTGCGCGGGAAGTCCGGTGGAACAGCGTCTTGGAAGGACATTGGCGCGTGCATCGAGTATAGCAAGCACAAGTCCAACAACTGCCGAGACCTCGTATGTATGATCTCTATGCCTCCCGAAGACGACTGGTGCTCAATGCTTTCGCTTCAC